TGACTGAAGCTTCAGCCGATTACCGTATTCTCTGGATTATAATATGCACTTGTTTTACTTGTACGTATTTGTTTTTAAAAGTTGGATGCATCTCATAATCCGGTAGGTGCATGTGCATAACCAGATTTGTATACATTTATTGACGCTGGGTAAAGGTTTTGTGTCTTACTTTCCAGGACGTGTTACAAACTGGAGAATACGGTCTGTCTGTTGCAAGGCGGTGCTATTGACGATGGTGGTGAGCTTTTTGTTTGTGCTTAACGGTTATTCTTAATTGGGCATTCGTACAAGTACATTGGAATCAAGATAGGTTTCCCACATATGCAATCGATGGTGCATTTTTCTAAATAGTTTGGAAAAATACTGAAGCTATTTGGTTTTAGTTGTGCAATATACGGAACGGCATGCCAAGTGAACTTTGCTGGGATAATTAAGTTTCATGAGCGAGCGTTCATTGACCAGCGAGTTAATAAACGTTGCGGTCTTCTTAGTCATGCGAAATCGGTCAGGGCGCCTACTTGTTCGAGCTTCTGATGCAAAAGAACCGTGGGGGGAGGGAAAGAAAACTGTGGAAAAAAAGAAAACTGTGGAAAAAAACCCTCGTTGAATGTTTAGCCATTTTTTTGACATCACAAAGTTAATTTCTAAACATTGCCAAACAGTAAAACAAAATTGGTTGCACGTGTATTTTGTTCCAAATTCGACATGGTCAGGCCCTGCACAATCACCCACGTTTGAGTGATTGTCTGATGGATGTATATTTTTTTTTACCAAGGGTGCCTTAATTAGAGCTCTGTTATTTAATAAACTGCGTATACATCACTGGGGTGGAGTGGTGGTGCGGCGGTGAACGCACTGCACTATAACTCCACGGCTGAAATCAGTGATGAGGGTTACATGAACAGTCTGCTTCCCACCACCAAACCAACCGCACCACTGATTAGCACGGTTGCCTTTGTACGGTGCAAATGAAGTTCAACATACATACAACCTGCACACGATTAACACAGTATGTACAGGATTTCATCCAGCACTGGATTGCCAAAAGGGTTCTTAATTGGTATGATCATTTATCATAGTATACCGAGTAGGAATGTAATCTGCATTGTTAAAACAATTATGTTTTTTTAGTATTTTTTTAATGCACAGTATATGAAGAAAGTAAGAAATAAAACTGCTCAATTGGAATGAATACGAACAAATAAAAGGTAACATGAAGCAAGTTTTCTCAACAAAATAAAATAGTTTAATGTCAGCTTCACAACCAATATCTACTGAGGTTTTTTGGGTTAGATAGCGTAAAAATAAATTTGTCGTTAAACACGCCATCACCCAACACAGCCAATGAGTAAGGTTTGTCACGTAAACAAACATGCAAACATCGTTACTCGTTCAGCACACCGGTGCGTTGGAGAGTAAACCCACAACATTTACAATTCGAGTACGACGTTTCACCGGTAATTATAACAACCAGCATCATCAGGCGACAGCCATAATTGTAGATAAATTCTCCTGTTTCAGTCTTAAATATAGGGGGGTAAATGTGATGTCGTCACTGTGAGCCAATAAAATACGTAGTTGTTCTCGGGGGGATAACTAGAGAACACAGCAGAGTGTGTATTGCCTCGGAAAATAATTGAAGATGCATTGGGATCAAACTAATGAACTAAAGAGGTGAAATCTTGATTTGAAGCTTTCGTGCCTGCAGGAATCCATACTCTTTGGGTCTTTCGGTAAAGTGACGTAGGTAGAAAAATAATCAATCACGACGTTTCGGACGCAACACAAGCGTCCGTCATCAGGCGAAAAATATAGATCAGAAACATGGACACTTGACTATTAAGATGTTGCCTGCATTTCATTGTCTCTTTCAATATTATTTGCTTTGCCCAACCGACATGTTTAACGAATGGGTGTTTCGCCATAAGAAGGCATTGCTTGGAGTGCGTTACAATTATGGCCGTTCATCAATACGACTGCGATTATTTTTTTGAGCGCAAGCCTCTATGGGAATGTCACGTACAAAGTTTAGTTGTTTTCAGCTTTGTTTATCTGCGTAGACAAGCTATCAACGTAACCTTGTTTGCCCACGCCAGGCTGAACAACCTTGGCTCCCCGTGTTATTACGAACGAGTCTTTTAATTGCTTCTGTGGGATACTACATCAGGTCCAATGTTGCAAAATGAGTTGGAAATTGTGGCGGTTTTACTTATTTAATTAAAGCGTATGTATGTTAATAGCCAGTAAGTCGTGTTAGATTAAAGACAAATGTTCCTTGGATAGCAGGATTGATATATATATATGTTTAGTTTGTGTTCTCTGTAGTGGCAGAAATAAATGTAGGCAAAGATGCATGCATAGGTACATTCTTGGAATTACACTTAAAGATGGAAAGAGGAACAGAAATTGGAGAACTTAAACACGTTAGAGACGTCATATTTTTAAGTCCTTTATATTAAGTTCACTTGCTTGCAGTGCTTGCTTGCTTACGGCCGTGCAAATCTTTTGGTCGTTTTTTAACCCACTTCCCGTGATCCAATCGAGCTGACATTTTCCACACAGACTCGTTGTGTGTGACAATTAATGTTCGTGAAAAAATTTTCCCAAAATTTTACACTTTTTAGGACAAAAATATTATGTTTAATTACCAATTGCTTAATGGTGCCATGCAATCATCTGACCCATAGGTGGCAGCGATCTCAAGCCAGAGGACGAGAGGACTCTAGCCGCCACGCATATAAAGGATTTATAGTGAAAAACTTTGTTTTTACGGGTTATACTTGTTTACTATGATGAAAAGCAAGTGGGCCTGGGAAGGACACGTTGTAGAAATTGAGGCGCCGGCCAGCAGTGGTCGGGTCAAAACGACAGGGGTGGCAGGCAAAGGAGAGGATATCCAACAGAACGATAGAGGCAGCTCAACAACAATCCAGCAGCAGTTTGCTGGAATGTTGCTTTGCAAGACCGTGAGAGATGGAAACATTTTGAGGGAGGCCTTGATCCATTAGTGGATAGATCATAGCTCAATTGATCTGTCCACTGATGGATGGATCTATCCATTCTAAATTGAAAACCAATTATTTTATAACTACTTTTTGTGTTTAGTTTGATCTTTCCCCGTACGTCCGCCGATCAGCACGGTTGGCTAAGTACGATGCGAAAGAAGTTCAACATACATACATAAGCTAATGATGACGACAAGCAGCAGAACAACATTTTTCTTAACGTCATTCTCGTACGTGCACAATGACATGCAGTACGTTTACTGTAACGATGACGCAAACAGGTGGTCATTTTTACACAATGAAACTTCTTTTGTTCAGTTTTAGGGTCACGATGAATCAACAAGCTTCTTTCGCATTGTACTTAGCCAACCGTGCTGATCGGACGTGCGGAAAATATTACAATCGTATTATCTCGCGTAATACTTTATCAGACATATTTCAACCTCGACTCGAAACTGCAACGCCTTCACATAAAATGCTTCATCAAAATTTTAAACTGAAGCCATGAAAATTGTGCATAGTGCTCAGTCAGTATTGTAAGTTCATCATTCATGTCGCTTACATAGCAATCGTGATCGCTTTATCATAATACGCAACTTCGAATAACTTTGTTTCAATCTGTTTGCTGTTAATCCGGTACATCCCAATTAACATTTAGATGTCAGAACAATTTTAAATGAACCATAGCAGTTTTCTGTATTCGTTACTCCCACCTCTTCGGTATTGCTATATATTACGTATTCCAAAATTGCTCCGTCATTTCAATTCAAATAAATGTTTATTTGTTACACGGGAAATTCTTCTTTGGTTCTTTCGGTAAAGTCACGTATAAAAATTTTAATTTATTATTTTATCTTTATACGTGACTTTACCGAAAGAACCAAACAATAATTCCTGCAGTCACGAAAGCTCCAAAATTAAGACGGGAAATTCTGTTTAGCCAGTTACCTAGCTAGTTTTGGTGGCAACCCCCCGAAGCTACTAACAGAGTTACTGTTGGTGTGAAGAGGACGCCAGCCAGCAGCCAGCCCGAAAACTCGAGGCATATATTATTTTTAATGGAAGGATAGATTTCGTGGTGTGGTGATGCCACGGTTAGTACACTACACTACAAACGCGACGAACGGAGTTCGATTGCCAGCTACGGCTAATATCGGTGGTGAGTTATCTGAAGCAGTCCTGATTATCCCTATTCCCCAAATTGCACTAACCAGTGTGGTGGAATAAGGCCAAATAACCCCAATGACTGAAATGCATGGGGATGCCCGTTTCCAGTAATCGATTTCCAAAAGGCTGTAAAACAAATTATATACATAGATTACCAGGAAAGAAAGTCCAATAATCCATAGCTTACACAAATAAGTGTTGTCCATGATCAACACAGAGTGGTGAGAGAATGAATGGATAGTCGAATACAAATGAACAAAAGTCCCTTTAATTCATGCTATTTTTTAGGGGGATGCTGCTTCATTTTAATTGTGGTCTTTATAGGTTCCGTATAATTTACATTGTGATATTATCTTACAAAACACACAAACTAATGGTTCATAAAGCAATACTAGTTATTAATGCTATATATTAGTACGCGTGTTTCACATGCTTTCCCATTTACAAATAACAAGAAGCACATGAATTATGTTTATATTGTTGCCAACGACATTTTTGTAACAATTTTTTTTATACATCCGTATTTGCATCAACTGAGATTCATCTTCTCTCATTACCAAAACACCACAAAGGACCCACAACTCAGCAAGTCAGATCTGGGATGACAACCAATTTCAATCTCCTAAAGGAATTACAGCAACACAAATCCCGTGGCGAAATCCCACGAAGAATAATTATCGGTCTACCCACGTGCACCGCAATATTTGTAATTGACCCTCGCTTCGACTCTCTCAACAACTCAACTTTTGTTGCTTTTCACCGAAAACGAATCAACAACGACAAAAACTCAAGTAAAACCACTGGCGGGCGTTTGCGTGCATTGCTCACCGTCTCCTCCGCGGCAGGACCGAGCAGGTGTTTGTTGATGCCCGAGTCCTCGTTCTCCTGCTCGTCCATGAGTGAGCTTCGTTGGCGGCGGCGGCGACGGTGTTGGACGCAGCAGCAGCAGCAGGAGCAGCACCAGAGTGATGTGACAGCGACTCGCGCGTGCCACGTGCGGCTGCGGTGGCGGTGCACGCAGCAATAGCCCAGCCTCCAGCATGGCAGGGGCAAGTTGAGCACATACAGTATTTAGGGAGAGGCGAAATACCACACAAGAGGGGCGGATACCCCACGTCATTCATTTACCGTACTCAAGCTAAACAACTGGCAATGAGTTGTGAATTCTAACGACGACGAGAGGAGCAAAGTTTGCCGAATTAACTATTTTGTGTTACTTTTTTTAAAGGGAGTTTTAGGCAATTACTGCGCGATTGTTGTTGCTTTACTTCACTAAGTTTGGCGCGTTCGTTAAGTATTGTCGTTCGGTGAGGTTAACCGTGGTAAGTGTTGTTGTGTAGGCTAACTTGGAAGCGAAAGGCGATCGAGGTAGACGTGGTAGTCGTAACTCTTGTCAGGTCGCCCGCATTACGAGCCGTCTGTTTCAAATCACGAACGTAATATCCATTTAAAAACGGACAAGCACATGCACTTCATATGCCTGGGATCTGCTCTTTTGCGAGCATTGGTTTGAAAAATTTACTGACACCCCAATGCCATCATAATCCTGATTTAATATGTATACGTCAAGCTGAAAAGCCCGTTAAGGAACGATACGACCAACTCATGTGTCAGTGAGATGCATAGTGGCATTGTAAGAACTCGAGGTATGCTGATGATGGTGCGGGGAGATCTTTATCAAGCAGTGGATAGATCACGGACGATGAGGATTCTTAGAGCCCGTAGACATAACAGGTCTTTCATTACGAGGGAGACTCGTGTAAAATACAGAACCAGACAATTTATTTGACTTTGCCAGCGAATGCTTGTAAACGTTCACTGCCAAGCATGCTTGAGAGCGTGCATAAGTGTCCCAAAGTAGTTGCGGAGCAGGTAAGACTACTCAAGTGAAAAGTGCTTCTTCACACCCACCTGAGTCACAATTACTTGGTCAGCTTTTCAAAAGTGCCACTTGTTGCTTATCCACGCAAATAATGTCATTGTTCACGTCTAAGTATTCTGGGTGTCTGCAACTCTTCGTCAAGCCACTGCTGGATGAAGCCCCCCCCCCTCTCCCCATGATATGCGGGTCGCGTGGGTGATATTTGATCATACTTCACATTCACACTGAGCATTGCGTGTTGGTGGAGGTGGGGAGATATAAATGCTGGACGTATAGAAGTGTAGTACAACAATGCGTTCTGCTGCCCACTGTGGAGCCCTGCGTTGTTGTTGTTGTTGATGCGTGTTGGTGAAACCCATCAACCATCCCTCTCTCCGGGCACAAACCCCTGCCTTGTCTTCCCAGATGCGACGAGATTGGGAGGGGGGGTGCACACGAATAGTAATTAAGAACCAAACGCACAATTCACATGCGTTTGCTCTATTGTGCGGTTTGCGGTTCACATTGTTTAACGGATTGTTTCTTTAATTTGCCCTTTAAACGTAGTTGTCCGCAGCACCTTTGTGTTGCGAGGAACCTCCGGTAGGCAAACCGGATAGACTGGGTTTTGCAACGTTGAAGGCTGCGCGGGGCGATTCTAAAAAATCGTCATACACACGGTGACTCAGCAAGGGGGATTCGTTCTCTCATCCAAAAATATTTATCACCAATTAACCCCTCTCTCTCTCTAAATGTATTATTTATTTGAGTACTCGCCTAATATTACCCACGCCAGTAATGGATTATGTATGATTTCCTCGTGGCTCAATGCATTTCTAATTGTGATGTAAATCTCTAAACTGGCAGGGAGGAGAATGGAAGGTTGCGTTATAACTTCACCCAGCTGGACTCGATGATTGAGCTTCTCATACAAAACGGGCTTAGACCTGGTGAGTTGGGCTGATGTTTGAAAACATCAAATGTAACACTGGCTGCACTGTTTATTAAACACACCACAAGTAACCGAAGCACTGCAAACATTTCTTTGCTTTGTTTCCGAAATTGCAAACGTCGTAAGTGAATTTGCTTTTTCACGAAAAAAATGTGTCCAATGAAGCCTCTCTTGATTAAAATGACGTGACAGGGGTGTGTACACATAAAACAAAAAAATACTCCCTCCTACACGATCGTGCAAATGATTATATTTTGACGCGGTCCGAGTCGGTGTACCGCACACGTGTGCAAGACTAGCGCCGCACAGAGCAGTTAGTGTCTCGTGTTCCTGGCAGGATTCGAGCTCATGGGCAGCCCGTCTGGCTTCTTCACCGACTTCGAAAACAAAACGCAGCTGGTGGCGTGGAGGAGCTTGGTCTCGGAGCTGGCAAAGCGCTACATCGGTAAATGCTCCACGCCAATTATTGCCCCGCGTGTGGCATGTCGGCGTGTGATTCGGAATGCGCTTGACTGCGTGCCCTTATCTGACCGGCAAGTCATTCAAATTTACTTGCGTGGTGGTAAGGCCGCCCCTGATATCTAACTTATCTTAAAGTTAACAACAAAAAATGCCACAGACGTTTCACATGCGAGTGCTCAATCCCTGTTTATACAGTCCATAAGGCAGCGATTGGAATTCTACATTCGATATGGCAGGAGTGAGTTCACTCATAGGGCAACCACTCTTGGCTGCCTACTAAACGGTGGTACTCACTTTTATTGACCTGGCAGAACGAAGGACTGAGTTGACCCCCAACCAGGATTTGAATTTGCAGTCTTCTCATTGGGGAACTGCATTCGCAAACCACTGAAATATCCGGCCGGAACTAATTTAGCTAATGACTCAATTACCCCAATCTGCCTGAATATAAGATGCTACTTCACTGCATGCAAGACAACAGTGTATGACTATTACAGAATATCCACAGGTTGTGGTGGAAACAGCTAAGCACGCCCAAGCAGTGAATGTTCTGTAATGGCCTGTCTGTGGGATACCTGTGCGCCAGCAACACTGAATTGTTTACCGACTTAAAATAAGCAATGGAGTTAAATCACGCCTTCGTGATGCACCATTTCAAAAGTGAAAATTCACCGAGTGCCGAAAGAAATGGGGGCATGTCATCTCGTGGCAGATATGTATGGGCTGCGTGAAGTCCTGCAGTGGAACTTCGAGACTTGGAATGAACCAGATCACGGCGACTTCGACAACATCAGCATGACGGTGCAAGGTAACGCAGGGAATCTCTGAAGGGCGATCAGTGCGTATCCATGTGTGCAGCTCGCATAGCTTTTAAAATCCAATGTCAAAAATAAGTTGACCTTTGTACTCCTGCATACCATACACTTAAAATATGTCCCTATTTTCAAATTAGCATAAACGTGCACTTAATTTTTGTTATCAGAACGAGGTGTTCACATCGAATATAAATACAGAACTTGTTTTACGTGCGCTCCATTCTGTAGTTGTGTTCGGGGCTAAGCTAATCCTACGAACAAGTTTATAAGCATTTAGCTCGAAATAAGATGAGACGGATACGTAGTGCGAAAATAATGCCCAGAACAGCATTTTGGGACCATTCCAACTGAAATTAAGCACTGGTTATACGAATAGAATGAATGTGATTATATAATTAAGTGTAACTGTGTGCACCACTATGCAACCATTAAGCACAAAGTGCAAAGTAATGCTCAGGCTTAAATTCTCACTGAATATTTTCCGGGTTGCTGGTAGAGTAGATTAGGTGGCACGTGACCCAAGTAGCCACAGCCAGAGTTATACTGGATGTGTCATGCCGGGTGTGGGTATATTTTCTCGCGCCGCCGACCCAGATAGACCTGGCTCAAATTAAGCCCCGGTTAATGTTCATGAGTGCATGTGATGACTTTAGTGTTTAAAAATATATATTTTCGTGTTGTTCCATGGGTCAGGCTTTCTAAATTATTATGACGCATGCTCGGAGGGGCTGCGACAAGCGAGTCCGCGGCTGAGGTTCGGGGGACCCGGGGACTCATTCCGGCCTCCACCACGCTCTCCAATGTGTTGGGCCCTCCTCCAGCACTGCCACAACGGAGCAAACTACTTCACAGGGGAGCGTGGGGTGCGCCTCGACTACATCGCCATGCACAAGAAGGTGACGCCGTTATCGATTGCTCTCCCAGTAAAATTGCGTGCGTCACAGCTGACACTTCAAAGTGTTTGAATGACATTGCCGCTTGCGTGGGTTTTCTCGGCTGTGCTGCGTAGCTCTCTGATGTGTGTTCAGGTTGTACCACCCTGTGAGCTTCTTCTGGAACTGAATTGGAAGTTCCTCACGAAAGCCGAGTAAGTTCCCAGAATTTTTTAGCAAAATATCAGATATGGCGAATAACATGCGGTAAAATCAGAAAACACATCGGAGATGAGCAAATGCTCTGTGCTGAGAAACTGTCAAATGCGTAGATTGTTTCCCCCATTGACAGCAGCATTGCCTGCAGCTGTTCACACAGTGCACATCACTTTGTGTCATATTATGTAAGACATGCTCAGGTTTAGCAAGCTCAGCAAGCCTAAATATGAGATTCCTCGGATTGGGTGGAGTCATAATGGGAACAAGAAAAAGAATGTCTGCTGATGGTGTGTTTTTTTAAATACGTACAGCCCTTTAGTCGCATCACTGCTGGGCGAGGGCCTCCCCACACCCGTTTGGGTCGTGGGGGTTATTTGACCATACTTTACTGTGTTCTGGTCAGTAGGGGTTTGTCAAGGAGGGGAGACGTGAAAACTAAGAAGTACAATTCAACAATGGATTATACCCCATTGGCCTCTGCTGCCCACTACATTAGATCCACAGCCTATAACAACCTGTTGTGCATGGTGGACGCCCCTCCAAGCCCTTTCCAGGATCAACTCTGCTTAGTATCCGAGATCTGACAGGATCAGGTGCATTTCAGGTGATGTTGTCAATGGAGTGTTTTTGGACACCATTTCAGAAATTCTTGCTACCTTTCAGATATTCTGAAATCACGAAATGTTATTCCTGCGTAGTTTTTTTGTGGTTGTGCTGTACGGTTCTCCAATGCAGCTTCGGGTTGTACCACGTGTTGTTCGGCATGATGTCCGACGTTTCACTCTCAGCACACTGAAGAAGTTCCCACCACTTTGTAGAGCTATGCTGATTTTTACTGGTAGGAACCTCCTGGTTACACCAGCCCACAGGGGATTATTGTGTCCGTCCGTCGTGCAGGGAGGGGCTGGGTAGGGAGGGGCTGGGTGGGGCTGGGTAGGGAGGGGCTGGGTGGGGCTGGGTAGGGAGGGGCTGGGTGGGGAGGGTGGGGCTGGGTGGGGGGTGGGGCTGGGTCGGGAGGGGCTGGTCACCCTGTGGTGCCCTTATAAAACTCAACGTTTAACCTACTTACGCCGGCTTGTGCCCGCCCTCACAGTCGGGCATATTTGCGGAATACACCACGCCGCCGTTGACCCTGGCCATTTAACCGAGCAACCCAACGTTCCTACCAGCTCCCTCCGCAGGAATGTGTTTTCTACGTTTTTGCTAAACCTGCGAACCCATAGACAAGTGTGCCGCCTTGCATTTTCGACGTTGCACGAAATTGATCGCCAAGGCGTTTTATCGTCACGCAGGGCAACGGCAGCTCCATGCACATTCTGGAGCAGGAGCTCGAGGCCGTGGGCTTGATCCAGCGCCTCTTCCCACGTCTCCAAGCCACTCCCATCTACAACGACGAGGCAGACCCGCTCGTCGGGTGGTCCACGCCGACAGAGTGGAGGGCCGACGTCACCTACGCAGCCATGGTGGCCAAGGTAGAGTGGTTTACCATCACGGTGTGGAAAAAGGAACGCGTTCTGATCCCCATGACGTTGATGGGGAATGAGCTGCACAGAAATGTTCGCGGAACTTAAAGAAAGAAGGCTGCAAAATTGGATTCAGGAGGTACGACTATATGAGCAAAGCCAATGCCACCGACAAGAAGTTTGGCAAAACAATCGGAGATATCTGTCGGAGGGCCACAATGGGAACACGCAGAGGAGTATTTGTACCTACAACAGATATTGAAAGTGGAGCACAATAAAAAAAAAATGTACTAAGGAGGGGGACGGGAGTGGGTTAGAGTGCTTTTGGAAAAGCTGAACTTGATAATAGCATCTCTTTCAATCAACATAGCAGTGTTCCTGAAATAGATGCTTTATAATAAATGGCTACTGCTGCTATGACATAAGGATCAGAAATATTTACACCAATTTAATAAAATGGAGCAAACTGAAGAGAGATCATTTTAATTTCAGTAAGAGACAAAAGAGCAAAGCACGAATCGTGGGAACAAATGCGAATCGGAGACATCGTAATGAGTGTTAAGAAATGTCAACGTGGGCTTTGGTAGGGACACTTCCCTAGAAAGGATTGATGGCTGATGGTCAAAGAATAATAATGCACGTGGCAACCGATGGATGTGATTCACCCGCAAGGTTATCTACTGAGGAGATGATGGGGTGATGGACACGGCTTGTGTGGAGGTGCTAGCTGGATCATTATATCGCAGGATCATGAGAGATGGTGGCGTCTTGGGGAGGCCTTCATCCTGCAGCGGATTGAGCAAGGCTGATGTTGAATGGTGGTGGTTATGCTTTCGTGAGTGGTGTGTGACACTGCATAATGTTGCTTTAGCACCAGAAAAATGACGATGTATAATTCATTATTATTCTGACTAGCACGAGTGCTACTTGCACTATGTACGGTAAATAAGTCTACTAAGCATGACTTGCATGTACCTCCTTACCATGTCTGAAAAAGGGCAAATCGGTTTCTTGTTAATAAACTGCGAGGAAAATGCTCGGCACACATCAGTCATTATTAGACACAAGTTTAGCGTCTGCTTAGGGTCACTGAGTAGCAGTCGCGATGTTTGACTCATCGTGAATAGTCCGTTGCATTCCTTCGTCGACTGCACATACCTCCCCTTAGCCACAGCCGAAAATGCACAACGCATTGCACTTTTGTTAATGGATGTGCTGGTCAGCAGAGGACAGCAATACGATAATTTGTTGTACTGTACTTTAAATGTTTCTATGCTGCCTGGCCTTTACAAACCCGCACTGACCAACATGGTGAATTGAGGTAAAATAATCTGCACGGCGTATCATCCAACAGTGGATTGGCATCGTGATGTACATGTACTCGTGCATGTTTTAATAGAAAATCACATTTGCTTACTGTATTTGTTTTGGAGGTCGAAGTAGAGGCGTTGTGTTAATTTTGTGATTGTTTTTACAACCATTGCCATCGTTATTTAACTATAAAGATAAATATTGCCGTGCTTGTCTTTGCCAACTCGAACCATTTGCGTTTTTACGAGTATCGATAGCATTTGTTTGCTTACATGATCGACATGGTTGGCAGTTGTGTAAGCACTCTACAAGTAGCACGTCCTTTATCACTAATATTAGTAGCCGTATATTCATATTCTTAGGTTTTTTTCGGTAAAGTCACGTAGGTAAAACATTAAAATTAATAAAAGTAAAATAAAATAAAAATCACGACGTTTCGGAGGCAATACAAGCTCCCGTCTTCAGGTGGAACCGTCACAGCCACGACAGCTGTATCAAGTAAATGAGAGATTACAGGAGCTACCACTCCGTATATATAATGGTTGGAGAGGGGGAAGGGCCAAGTACGGCACACTTTTTATTATTGATATGGTAAGGTGAGGCTTAAGAGGCTGAGCCTTTGTTATTCAATTACTAATAAATAATGTTCAGTTTTTTTGCTTCAGGGCGTTGATGTTCTCAGTGACATTTTCTACGCTCGTCGCTGTCCTTTTCCAGTGGTAAAAGCATTTTGCCATTTAGCGAGAAGAAATTGTAAAGTTAGCCAAAAATACTGAAATGGTTTTTAGTGCTGATGAATATAAGGCAGGCGGTGGGTTCTTTTTTTTATTGTCAGAGCGTCTTCAACATTAGTCACGTTTGAGGGCCAAACAACAAACATTTGAAACAATATGCACTGTTTTGTGATGTTCTCTTTTCAACTGGCGAGCAATTTAATTATTTATATATGCGTGTTTGTTGTTTGTCAAATGGATATATGAACGATCAAGTTAGGCTTGCCAGGGTTAAAAAAGATACAAACACACAGTGATTTGTATTGCGATGGAAAGGCATTTTCTGCATACCGTTTCCGAACCAATGCTCTCCACGCAGGCTAGGGTTAGGGGGAGAGGCAGTCGTGTGTTGAAGTAAGCGGTCCCATTATTTACAGCTTACTCACCACTGACACAGTCGTAGGGAAACCACGACGAAGGGGAAGCGTTGCTTGCAGAGACTGCGCATCAGCAGGGCGCGCCGTGAAGGCGCATGGCCTCTGCATTGTGCGGTCTCGCAGGTGCGTAACTCCGCCGTGCCCGCATGTAGTTGGTGCGTTTTTTATTCTATTTTACTGAAGTGTGAAGAAGTCACCGTGTTTTTTTGGCAGCTGCTGTGGACTGCTGACACGCACCGCCATGGGGCAGCGCGCTATCGCGATATTCACACGCCTCAAACTTTTCAACTGTGTTTATTTGCTTTCACGAAGTAAATGTGTTTTTTTAGCGGTAGGGGAGAGGGGAGTTGCACAGCGATTCCGGCACGGTAAATCAAGCCACCCTTGACATGATGAATTGATTAGGGAGCCTAAACTAAAAACTGATCACATGATAGCTCAACGAAGGGGGCTTATGTGGAAATGTATAGCTGCGAAATACTCTAAACATGATGGAAATGACATGATGGGACATGATGGAAAGGATGCTGTTCACTTAGAGGCCGGGTGGCAGTATGCGTTGCAAAGTGTGGGGTAGCTATCGCGTGGGCGCAGGTGGTGCAACTGCGCGAGCCTGCGAGCTGGTCAACGAAGAAAGTAGAATGCGGACGGGGTGGGGGGTGCATTTTATTCCTTGCATCACAACCCGTGCCAACCACTCTATGCCACTGGCCTTGCACGCAAGGTTACTAAGAAATGAAATTGTGTATCATACGCTAACACTGAATAATGCATACAAATTTAGAAATGGTGTGTCGATTTCATTAGCATAGGACGTAAAATGCCTAACACTTTAACTATTTAGGTAGAGTGATGAGAGTAAGTGGAAGATGCATCACAGAGATAAACAGAAGAATAGCACTGGCAAAATATATATTTCAGGAAATTGGATCTTTATTGAAAAAATTAAATGATTAATGACGAGAATTAAAATACTGCAGTGTTACATGTGGCCTATTCTATATATATATAACCATAAGAAACTGTATTATATATGTTTATATGATGTAAAGGATTAAGATAATTGTTAGAATAGGCTTGTGAATTAGCTACATTGCTCATATATAGCTACCTTCTCCACATTGTCATGTAAATCTCAGGATAAATCTCGCATTCATTACAAATGAAGTACAGTACTACATATTCTTGGTTCTTTCGGTAAAGTCACGTAGATAGAAAATAAAATTTAAATTTAATTTAATAAAAAATTACATTTATTAAGAATTCAAAGTAACAATGGGAGTTATTGTACTGCAAAACTATTGGCAACATTTTCTCTGGGAAGCAGTCAAACATTGAATATTATCAATGACTATTTAGTTTAGGGCTTGTTTTTTTTCTGAACCTTCAATAGATGGATTCGTCATGAAAGTTATAGGCAGAACTTATGTCGCACTATAGGTAACCAACCGTGCTAATCAGAGGGTGGATTTCTAACACGATGTGAGTGTCCATCTGTACATGTGTAACGTGGGGTCACGGTAACTCGTGAAGATGATCCAAAATAGATTCAATATTAGTTTAAAGTTGTGTTGCTGTTTCGGACTTACCATGAAGAAGACTCGCCAAATTGATCAAAGAGTTGCCCAAAACATGCAGACAAACACACGCTATTTGGAAGAAACACTTATTTACCCTGACAGCTACCCGTCAGCTTCTGTACCGTGAATAAACACTTCCGAGGACACGCGCAAGTTGTAAAACATTACAGAAACCATGCATATGCATCACTTTTCTTCTTTGTTATACTATAAACGCTTGCATCAGGGATCTCCGCAGCCTGCTGATGTCCTCTGCACGGTGGCGCATGTCTACCCAGGTGATCGTTCAACACCAGCGTCTGCTCATGGCCGAGCCCAACGGCACGATCAAGTACACGCTGCTCAGCAACGACAACGCCTTCCTGAGCTACTCGCCGCACGTCTTCACACAGCGCACGCTGGCCGCACGCTTCCAGGTCAACGACACGAGGCCGCCACACGTGCAGATGATCCGCAAGCCCGTGCTGTCCGCCATGGGATTGCTGGCTCTCCTCGGTCAGTGATGCGAAAGCCTTTTGGGGTGGCTGATAACCCCCGTTAAATTACTTAAATAGCTCCACTACTCGCGGACGTTAAAATATTCCGTGACGTTATTCGAAAAATAGTGGGCCATGTGTACCGACGTACATGGTGCAAATTTGACTCAATTTAAGTTTTCAAAATACTTGGAAATTACTTAATTGGGAAAAAACAAAGAGTAACATCGGCCCCTACTTGAAAACGGATAATAATAAACATGTCTGAGTATGCATGTACATATTTCAACACAAAGCAAAGGGCTGTAATATGCTGCTCCAAAACAATATGAAAATGATCTGCCAAATAATACAGCTATAGGGCTACAATTGTCAGCAGAAAGAATTGTAGCAAAATCCATTGTACTATATTATGCCCCAACGTCTATTACCCCCACGATCTACATGGTATATAAATGCCGTCATCAAACAGTGGATTAATAATAGGGACTGTACATTCATATAGACATTGCATTATAGACAAATACCAAAGGTTTCAGCATGGGGGTACACGTACCTTGAATATGTATTTAAAAACATATGTCGGTACATTCTGTTTTTTTGCTTTTAGCTATTGACTCCTACAGTTCAATGATCGTAGATAAAGTTATCTGTTGAAATAACTAGGAAGGTTTAACTCGGGGTAAATATTTGAGAGCTTTCGTTTAAAAAAATAATGTGAAAAGTATTTTTCCCACAGAAATATCAAAGTCTAACATGCCACTGCAGAAGGTCATATGAAGGGTATGGCGTCACTAAAAGGTAAAGGTGCGGCCCTGCAACTGCTTGCTCACGCCACGGCTGGCGAAAGGGCCTCAACCTACAGAGGGAGTTATAGAGGAGCCCCACGAGATGGTATTTCGCCAAATCTTCCTCACTGTCGAAAATGTCTTGGAAAATGTGGGAGGACCCACACTCGACCCCACCAAACGCGACCAGCCAATGGACTGACTGTGGTGGACCCAATTATTCTACTGGGTGGACGGATGTGGGGCGGTGGCGGTGGCAGGGACAAACTTTAATCGTTGTTACAACTGCCGCTGCGGGATAAGCCGGTGGACTTCTGGATCACAGGTCCAGTGTCCTAACCATTACACAATGCTTTTAAATTAAAAAATGTATTTAAACATTTTTTAGGAACCTGTGGTTTTTTTCTTCGTGGTGAAAACATCCTGAGCTTAGTTGCTCTCTGGATGACCTCGTATGACCTGAGGAAGGGGGGGGGGGCAAAAAAATAAACTCGCCTCGTAGACATTGACGGCTTTCCCATCACTCTCCAGAGAGAGGCTATGTGAGAGACGTGTGGGAGAGAGGCTTTCTAGAATATGAATAGCACTAAAAATATCCCCACGGTTTGTGCGGCGGTCTCCTGCGCAAAACCTCACAAACACCACCAGCCGCATGTTGTTTTCCACGCCACGGGCCTATCACGCTGACTTCGCTTTGCTCTCAAGCTCGTGCAGTTCACACTGAACGCTAATCGTAATCACCTTATTTGTCGTAATACCATAATCACTGTGGCTGAGAGGTAGAACTTGGCTCTGCAAGACTTTTTCTCCACACTTGTTATAAACAAATCTCGTTGCACATGAGAGGGCTTGCTGCCAGGGCTTGCTGCGAGGGCTGTTTTCTCTTGCTAGCAGTGCCACAACCCCCTTGTGTAAATGCGGCTACCCCACACCCCGCATTGTAATGCAATGCTCACATTTGCATACTTTTTCAGCATTAATGCCCCATTTCCATATCGAATATAACAACAGCCCAGCATTTCAAGCACAACTAAGTGATCTAGCGAATGCGAATAAACAACTGAAAGTTATGAAATCTCACATGGCATTTAGATGACCTTCACTTTAAACAGTGGACTTCGTCTGAACTCGGGTTCACTTGGGGTTTTGACGGAAAAACTCAGTTACTGGAGCGTGGCGTGCAGCATGAAAGTAATTAATTTAATGTCTGGAGCATAACCAGTTTTAACCAATGACTCTACGCATCATTACATGCGCTGCTAACCAAGAGTGCTTCATCTTGCATTGGAACTGCCGACGTTGGCTGTGCCCTGGCCGTTTGCTTGCGTATCTACTCTGCCCCCTGCAGGAGAACGGCAAGTACTGGCGAACGCGTATCTTCCCGACGGACACAAGGAATGGGCCAATGGGACATTCGGAGTCCTGGCGAGCACTCACGAGGCTCGCCCCTGCCTCTCGGTCACCGACAGCTGGCAATGCTCCCTGCTCCTCTACAACAGCGATGACGTGAGGACGTCTACCTGCGTCAGCCCAGTCACCGTCGTCGTTAGCAACCTCCCGTCTGACAAAGGTTTTCCGACTAAGAGGCCGGGCGGTGATTGCGCGGCACATTAGTCCGAATGTGTTGCTTCATCAATTGACAGAGCAGCTTGTGCTTTTACACCTGCTGGAGGGTGTTTAATAACCTTGCTGTGCTTGTGAGCCTGTCAATTCTCGCTGCTGGGCAGTGTTGTTCTTTTCCAGTAGCAGCCTCCGGATTCATTGATGTCAACAAACCATATTCTCCGCTGCCTTCTCTGCTTCTATTAATAAATGAACAACAATAATAACAGCAACCTTTTGTCAATCCGCTGCTGGATGATGGTTTCCCTACATGCTGTGAGTCATGGGAGATGTTTGGCCATATTTCACCATGCCGGTCAGTGCGGGTGGGTTAAGAGAGCACACATGACCACTGATATTAGCCGTGGCAGGTCCTAGGGGTCATAGCGTGGCACGCTAACCTTTGCAACACCGCTCCATTGCAGAGAATGTTGAATATATATGGAGTGCTTCACTATTTCAGCGTTTCCATGAAGTGTCATGATATGTGGTTGCAATTTGTTTCGATAATTTATATTTTGTGTTAGTGTTATCTCAATTGTCCTTGTGGTTTTAATCTGTCTGTTTTGTTTGCTTTATGAATGTAATATGAGCTTAGCATTTTCATATAATGTGCATAAATTGCAAGTAATTGGTTTAGAATATAATCAGTGTAAAAATATATTTTATTCAACGAATCCACGCATGAGCTCATAAACCACATCTACAAATTTTGTCTTATTGCTGTATCATTTTACTTTAAATGCCAGTGCATAGAGCAGTGTTTCTTCAATTCCAATCCTCTTGACCTCCTACTGTGCAGTTTCCCCCGATTACCAACCATGCTGTGCCTGCAACACTTAGTGGCGTAAAATTCATATAATTTTAATTTATATTTGTTTACCCACGAAAGCTTTGCTGAGTCTCAATAACTTTCAGGAGGTCCTGCTAAGTTTTCACAGTTGGGGGTGGCAATTGCTACGTGTTTACCAATTAAGTCATTTGCAAGTAATATTTGAAATGGGCGAATTAGGATCATGATGACGCACACATTGCCTGTACATGTGAAGAATAAAGATTGGTAAACATGGGAAGGCCGACGATCGTGGGTCACCAGGACTGGAGTTTGTGTCATGCAGGATTAGAGTACTCGGTGGGAGATGCCAAGGTTGTATATGGATCTTCCTTTCCAGAACTGGTGTACGTCGGATATCAATTGGACAATAAGAAAACAAATCCCTACGCACTGTGGAAAGCCATGGGCAGCCCGCCCTTTCCATCTCCCAAGCAGTTTCGACTCCTGCGTGAACTGGAGGTAATCACAGCACCTTCGGTAACTGTAAAAGTTTAGACCTGCAGTTTGATTGGTTATGTCACTGCTGCCGGAAGTGCTACTATTAGGAACACAACACACGGAGACTGGCATGATTATGGATACATTGATACTGGCATCTGCATTTTCACAAAAGTAAAATATTAGGCTACATGTCATGGCGCAATAGTTAAAGTTAAAGGTGCAGGCTTGCAATATCTTGCTCACGCCACTTTTGTCGGAAGGGCCTTCACTTAAGGAGTTCTAGGAAGCCCCTCTTAGAGGGTATTTTGGCCTACTCCTTCACAATAGCCAGACATCTTATAAGAGGTGGAAGTACCCACACTGTGCCCCACCACACACAACCTGCCGATCGACTGTTTCATCACAGCTCCTAGTCGTAAAAATTAATAAAATTTGCTCCTGGCGGTTGACAGATGCTGTGCTGTTGGTGTTGCTCTTTTCCGTTAGGATCCGGTGGTTACCAGTCCGCTGCCTGTGTTGGGTGTTGGCCCGTTGCGACTCACACTGGCCCTGCCTCAGCCGTCGGTGTATCTGCTGCATGTGTGTGCTAAGCCGCAAGGTGTGCCATGTCAGGTGAGCCTTCAGCAATGTTTTTTTTGTAAACCCAACTTACTTTATTAGTCATAAATGAAGCATTCTCAAGATTTTAGGTGATATATCCAGGGCTTAATTTCTCATTGGGAATGTTTCGGATCGCTGGTTATCTGATCGTGACTCAGTAGCCACAATCATAGTGAGAAATATACTGAAAGTGATGTGCCGGGTATGCAGAAATATTTTCAAAATCGCTGATACGGACAGATCCTGCTAAAACTAAGCCATGGGTTCATCCACATTGCTGGAAAAAATCACCATGATTTCACTTTTTCCACAGCGCTGCATGTTTTTTTTTTACATTTCTCTAATTCATTGCACATTTGATGTGGTCGCTACGTGCGTTTTAACAGGTCGCTGGACTCCGCGTGATGCCTCTCACCAAAGGTCAGGCCCTCGTCGTGTGGGACGACGGTGGTGCGTGTTCCCGGTGAGAGTACACGCTTTGTTGAAGCTGCTTTCACGCACGTATGAACTTGAATGCTTTCCAGCCACGTGCTCGTATGGTGTTTATTAATCCCCGGCTGTATCCGGTAGGTGCTTGAAAACGTTTGAGGTGGAGTTTTCACCGACGGGGGAACGCTACGCGAGGATCCACGTGAAGGACAGCATTTTCACCCTTGCCGTCCACTCCCCAACTCTCAGTGATCCTGGAGGTATGTCCTAATTACACAGTGCGAACCCATTTATAGACAACATAATAACATAATAGGGTGAAATAATTGTCGAAAACAATATTGTGTTTTCAAAGCCTCCACCCCATATCTCTCATCCGTCTCAATACATTTTGGCTTAAAGCTTTCGTGACGACAGGAATTCATATTCTTTGGTTCTTTCGGTAAAGTCACGTAGCTAGAATTTTTTTAAAATAAAAATAAAACCACAACGTTTTGATCACAACACAAGTGGTCGTCATCAGGAAAGGGGGTTAGCCTCTAAAGGCAAACTTTATAAAGTTTTAAAATGGGCGTAGCCCAAGTGGGCTGCGATCAAAACGATCAAAATGATCGCAGCCCACTGGGGATCGAAACGTCGTGGTTTTTATTTGTATAATTTTTTCTATCTATGTGACTTTACTGAAAGAACCAAAGAATACATCTCAATCCACAAAGGTAAGTGGGTCATTAGAAATCCTTGTGGTACCTATCAATTTTTCATGCCATATTCACATTTATAGGGTTGTGGTCGTTTATGACCAGCTGACTTCAGAAACACAATGACCCGGATGTTTACCCAACTCGAGACAGACACTTGAAGTCGGAGCACATATGGGAGTTAGATAACAGCTGTAAATGTCATGTCATATTTATTTATCCAAGAAAGCCTTATTGAGTTTCAAAACTGGCTTTCACAATGGTCCTCCTGAATTGGGTTGTTTGCCTGATTCTCGTGTAGAATATTTTTCACATTATTGGAAATTAGAATGCGCATATGAGGGGAAAACACTAAAAAGTCCACAGAAAAATGTCAGGAATCCGTTTGCTGTACAGCCATCTCATGGCCACCTCACAGCCCTGCAGGCGTGGAGGTTTCTCAATCTTTGTGATCCACAAACTCTTTCCTCTAAAGCGCTAGATCAGAGGTGTGCACTAGCACACCTGGTTTAAACGTCGTTAGGAAAGGCTGATTATGATGAATTTTAAAACGATGGTCCAAGTGTTCGACATCTTTGTGTCTCTCTGCCAGGTGGATCTGTGACGGGATTCTACAGAGTCCGTGCTGTTGATTACTGGAGTCGTCCTGGAATATTCTCTCTTCCTGTTTATTATAAGGACCGTTCGCAAACTTAATGAGTCCCATCCTGATAAAAAAAAAATTCAGCATCATCTGTAAAAAAAATTATTCCTCTAATATCCCTGTAGTTGAATTATAGGGATAGCAGAAAATAGTTTACATTGTTTTCAATCCACAATGCCACAATAGTCTGTACGAAATTAGAATGTAATTGTGCAGTTGTTTTATTCAATGTTGAAGAACAATGGGCATCTCGAGATGAGTGTAACCCTTTGATCACCGCGTGAGTAGAAAGTCTTTAAAGCTAAACAAGAGCACCAGCCAAGCGATCCTTTAGTATATTTGTATTGGTGATACATCTTCTGCTACCTTACGTTCATAACCAAGCTTACTCCAGATTCTTTTTAAGGTTGACAACTATATTGAACGCCCTGTGCTAATGAATGTTTACTCCATTTATTTATGCTTGAAATAAGGCAATGTGTTTTATGTTTTATAAAGTTATGATAGTAAAGTATTAAGAACCTTATTGGACCACTTTCAACTATATCCGAACAACACATGGAAGGTGTGGACTTTTCCTCTATAAATGGAAGATCAGGGACTGGCCAAACTGCAAATGCAGTCAGGTGCCACCCCTCAGGCATATCAATACAACACGCATGTCCTGGTGGAACAAGTGTATTACTCCCCTCAGCTACCCCAATACAACACGCATGTCCTGGTCTAACAAGCGGACCCTGCTTAGCTACTCTAGATGCCGTAGAATGGCTGACAACATTGAACGTCCAACTGTCGCCTGTTGCTTTTTTCAAATGCCATACACAAGAAGGAAAAGAACAGTCCAGTGTTATTTTAAACCCATACACATTGAAACGCATTTCTCAAGGGACAGCACGTCAATATTGTATGTACACTATGAGAGAAGTGTTCAGTTACATGATGTTGCCGTTTATTTTTTTTATGAAAAACGCAATTTATGTAAATGCACCGGAAGCAGCTCAATCTACAATGTTTCGGTAGTGATGTAATTTAATAAACGCGTCGATTAACATAACCAAAATCTACGGATGTATATTCCATACACAAATCATATGCACATCGGCACCAAGAGGGCTTAATCTTCTTTTGAGGACTGTATGTTGCCCCCCCCCCCAACCCCCTGAATTCTAATAGCCCCTCCATCTGATTGAAAGCTCAACCCCAGATAGCTCCGGCTGAAATTAAGCCCGATTGTAGGCAGTTACGTCAAATTCCTCAAGTGAAATTTCCCCAAAGCTCACACTGATTTACGTCACAAACCAAGGGCAAATGTAAATTTGACACAACCGGCCGTCGATCAATAAGTGATAGCTACTTGTTCTACAAAGTAGTCTTTTTGTTTTAAACATTTGGCTAAACAGCTAAACATACACCTAATGAGTACAAATACAAAAACAATCGACCTTCCCCTCCGCCCGCCCCCAAAATATTCTCAAGCGTGTGAGGTTGGCTTAGCGCTTGTCAGCAAAGTGAGCCCAGTTTGTGAACATGGTGTCTCAGTGAGGTCTGTAGTTGGTGCCTGCTGTCCACTGCACTCAAGCTAACAGACACCTCCGAAATGCCAGTCAAGTTATCCGTTGGAGCAAGAGATTACAACACCACTGGAAGAGTGGCGAAATAAACTTAAATGTATTCTAAAAGGTCAAAATGCCTTCGCGAACAAACATTACGAATGACATTAAAGTGGAAAACCTGTTCAAATCCCATCCGATGACGATACCATTTTGTGTACATTTAAGTTTACGTCACGGCTCGCTTTCTTACAGCGGAGTTGTACGGCTCTTGCAGTGAGGGCTCTCGCAGGAGACCTCCACATTCTACATTCCGTGTGATAACTTGTCCGGCATTTCTGGGAAAGTGTCTGACAGCTTGACCCGCAGTCCGCTGTGCTGGGCTTGTGCATGTGCCTCAGCGCTGTATCCTCATGGCCAGCTTGCACGCCACGGCAGAGATGAGTGCAGCCCCACGTCCGTTGCCTTCCTCCGACTGCAGGAAGGTGACATCGCACTTGGGCGCCAGCTGCTTCATCGTCGTCGCAATTTGATGCTTGAACCTGCACCGTGAACACACCCGCAGCAGTTGGATGAAATTAGAGCTGAGAGTATGAAGTCGATTAATCGACTCGGCTGAACGTTATAGTCGAAAGACTACCTTTTTTTGTGGTCGTTTACTCCGGCCACGCTTGTGAGTGGCGCGCTGATTATGATGATGACATTGTGAAACCACCCCGTCCAGTAATGCACACAACAGAAATAAGACGGTTCTTGAGCATGGACAGGGAGTCTTTTTCTCTCTTTTTTTTTAGTCAACATCACGGATAGTATGGGGTCAAGTATTTCCAGACAACTGGGGCAGCAGAGAAGAATGAGTGACCTCTCACTGAGGCGAAGTTGACTGGGGGCTTCTGACAAGAGTGCCCTGTCCACAATAAACATTTTTGGGTTAGATCGCGTTATTTATAAATGTGTCGTAACCCTCCACCACCCGACACGGCCAATCAGCAAAAAAGTGTCACGTTGACAAAAGAAAAATAGTTCACTACTTTAGCCCACCGGTGTGTTGAAGTGTGAAACCACAACATTTACAAATGCAAAAAACGTTGATTATGAATAATATTGGTCGCGAAAGCCTACGTGTTAAAGAGTGCCTTGGTTGCTGCTGAATCGAAGAGCACGTGAAGGGGGGTAGATAGAAACAGCAGGTAATTTTTTCTCACCTGAAGACGGCCGCTTGTGTTGCGACCGAAACGTCGTATTTTATTTTATACATTTTTCTACCTACGTGACCAGAGAGTATAGAGGAGAAGTGGGCAAGTCCATATAAGTGATGATCGACGTTTAAGCTGCAGATAATAAAATACGACACTTGTAAAAAAAAAAAGGTGCCATTGAAATAGACGTGCATGTGGCAGAATTCGACTGCTTCGTGAAATCAGCGCGCCTGAAATCACAAGAGCGAGGGCCGGTGTGCGAACGAGCGAGCGAGCTGCTCTCATTCTCACTGTGGGTGCAGCTTGTACACGGAGCCGTCCACTCCCACGGTGATCTCGAGCTGCTCCAGGCTGCCGTTCTCACGAATCTTGTTGACGACCGCTGCCATGCCCGCTGCGCAGAGGGAGGCCGCGCGTCGTGACACCGCCTGGCAGGAGCGCCGTACCAGCCGGCATTCTGCCTCCGTGGGCTGCAGACCCAGCCCCAGCAGCACGTTCAGCGTTTGCTTCATCTCCGCGCCGTCATCGCTGCTGGCGAAATCATTAAACGCACCACACAACACGATTTGAGGGTCGAGGTGAAGGGTTAAAGGTGTCCGCACTGTCACGGCCGTCGTTGGGATGTGCCGCTTCGTCGGTGGACAGTTGTTTGCTCTTTTACACCTGCTCAAGGTGATTTTATGAAGATGAAGTTGCAGCCCTGACGTTGCTTGCCAACTCCACCGTTCGTGGAAGCACTTCCCCACTCAAGGGAGGCGTAAATAATCCCTTCCGTATGGAATTGTGAGCAAGTCTTATGCGCTGTACCCACCAGACATGCACCGCCGATCAACTGCGTTGCATCAATTTATATTGCCGATTGGGGATTTAAGAAACTTTCTCACTGTTACAACTACCGTGAAGGTGGACCAGCAAACCTGTGGTTTGCAAGTCTAGTGGGTTGACGATTGCATCATGGCAGCATCCTGATTTGAGGCTATTTTAAGCACTACGGTATACTATCTGGGGCAGTGGCCGGGTGAATCGGAGGTCAGAGCGCTGAGCTGCCACTGTTGATAACCTGGATTTGAATTCAGGCAGCCAGCCGCCTGTGATTAACAAGTTCTATCGTATCCTAAGTTGATGGTCTCAGCCCACTCACCAGTGACTACAAAAAAACCGATCACATTACATTTGGTGCTGTACTTAATGTGGCTAAAGCCAGGTCTGAGAATGAAATATAGACGTTTACTCTCATTTTGATGGGCATTACTCTAATGGCAAAGCGATTGGAAACATGCTGCCCTCTATTTGGCTGAACAGGTCTCATAAAAACATATCAGAAGTAGTTCTGAAATATGCACTTTTGTGTGCCATTCTCTACACAAAGGGTTGTATTGTTCTCCGATTGTGCCGCAATTGATACTTTGGCTTTACACCGATGACACGATTGAGATAAATTAGCCTCGCAAGAATGCTGTGAGGTGATGGCGGTCGAGCTTATTGAAATGTCATTACTCACCTCTCGATTTGGGACACATATTTGGTTTCAAACTTGAAGTGCGTCTGCAGCTTCTCCGAGGCCTTTCCTCCGAAGAGCAGCCCCTGGTTGGTGAGCTTCATGACCAGCAGCCTCACCAACTCGCCCATGTACTTTCCAGATATTAGCTTTTCAAACCTGGGAAAATTGAAAGGCAAAGCTCATTAAATAGTTGAGAAGCTCTCATAAACGCAGGGTACAACGTATAGGTGGGACACTGCTGTCACACAATATCATGTTTTAACATGTGTTAACATTGCATAAGTGTGATGAATTCCATGTCATTAAGAAATTATGTTAACTGAGTGCATTTTACGCTTTTAGATCCAGCATGTTTTCTTAATTATTTTCTCGAATCATCGTTAGTGGATGTTATACTGATCGTGTTTTGCAATACTGATGTCATCATAAATCGAAAGGAGACTTTTAAACTCCGAACTTTGACTACCTTAAGTAGACAATGTTAGTTGCTTACAGTCGATCTTTATTGCTCCAAAAATTGTCAAAAGACAATCAAAAAGCACAGGTTTTTTTAACAATAATTCGGTGATATACATTCTACACGAATATTTAACCACTTGTCACCCAATGTATTTTACTGTTATGAAAATAATTGAGTACATTTGTTATTTGCATCAATCTTATTGAGCATGGATATGTGTGTTTGTGAGTGGCTCTGAGGTTTGTACATTCCCATTGCAAAATTCTCAATAGTTCGCCATTGCTCGCATGAGCTGCATCCTAGAAGAGGTTTAACCATTACGTACATATTGATCCATTATGCCATGTGAGCTTCAGGCCATGTACTATGCTGACCACACCTAATCTCATTTACAATCGCCACTTATAAACATTATTATTATACCATAAAGAGATAACTCATTCAACATAAAAGAAAAAAAAATCTACTTTGTGATTCAATGACTTGTCGCAAATTGGTGTCACGGTTTTATTCAACAATCTATTTGTTTGCCATTGTGGTGAATGTAGCACCCGTTTATAGCTGCCAGGGTCATGAAAAAACATTTACAAACAATACATTTAAACTCTGATTAATAATTTATTTCACGCTCGATTAGATGCGTGTGTCTTGATTGCAAGATTCGATTCTAAAAGAAACGATAGATGTATTGTTCTGCAGACAAATTTATATAATAGAGTGCTGCGGTGGAAATGTTAACTCCCTCGCCTGGAAGGTTCGATCCCGACCCTAACGTCTGTATATTTGGAGTTTGCGTGTTCTCTCTGTAGTCGCGTGGATTTTTCTCCGGGCCCTTTGATATTCCCCTCCACATTTACAAACATCTGTTGAGAGTATTTGGCTGCTATACATTTTCATATGATCAGCCACTTCGTTGAGCTATCATTTGTGGCCAGGTCGCTTATGAAAAAAAGCTCTATATCTCAGTGGGCCCTACGTGGTCAAATAAAACATTGTTTAGTTTTAAATATAAATAGGTGGTTGGTGTGATCGCGATGACACATGTTGCAGGCAATCACTCTATCACCTTTTCTCTTTAAGTTGCAGCACTTTTATAAGCTGAATCATATCGAACGCAACTCTAAAATGTTCACAATAATACCATTGAATGTAACTTCACGAAATTGAAGTTATACACTAAATTTACCAGATGGCAAAATATTGCAAGAAGCTTCCATTTGTAGTGGACAAAGCACTCTACTTGTTACGACGGAGCAGCTGCATTTGATGGTCGCTCGGAATTCAGTTCTGTGAACCATCTGCTGCTGTTTTTCAGCCGCTATATATACCGGCCTGTAAGTGCAGGTGATTGGCAAAAAAGCTAAATAAACAACGCAATTCCTTGCTGAGACGGCAATCAATCATCTGTATGGTGGCTGATGACGATTTTAGATGCAAGTTTTATGCTTTATGTTGCAATATGTTCATATCTCTGGGTGATGGTATTTAACTTTCTGCCAAATGTAAAGTCCAGTCGATAACTTTGTGTGGTGTTTATGGAAATCCAAGCACGTTTTGAATATGTTAGCGTTTTAAGTGAAGTTTAGATTAAAATTTGTTTTTGTTGTGGAAATGTGCAAGAATATTTGTTGTTGTACAAAAGCAGGTCAAACGCATTGACGTTTATATGGGGCTGCGTTTCAATGATTAGCGCACTCAGCAATGAACTTAGCAACCTGAGCTCAATTCCCGGCCACGGTTAACATGAGTGGTATGTGATAACTCAACTGGTATTGGGATGCTGCCTTCAACCTGCACTGGCAAGTGTGGTGAAGTATGGTCAAAGAAACCCCATGACTGCATGGTATGGGGAGACTTTCATCCAGCAGCGGATTGCAGTATTTTTTTATTTTATGTCACCGTTAATGCCAATCTGATAATCACCTTAATTTCAGGATCAAGTAACCTAAAGTTACTGCATATTACACTTTTTGTTTTGATAGCTTCAACACACCCCAGAAACCAATGGCGGAGCCAGGATTTTCAGGTAGAGGGCCAACCCCTCCAGCAATTAAAAATGATAGAGGAGTTGTTAGTTAGTAAGTGAGGACTTGTCCCTTGATTTTTATTCGACGCGTGTGCGGCGATGGCGCAGCCATCGATCGAGGGTCAAATTCGAGCCGTGTGTGATCGGCATCGCGCTCGCTAAAGGTGTTTTCCTTCAGGGAAGTCGTGGACTGTATACGCAACTGCGCACAATTCTGTGAGTCACTTATAACTGCTTTGCCGTTACTTATTGACAATTATGGACTCAGACTATTGTCCTATCGTCTCATAGAGTCCCTGGCACGTAAAAATATGCTACACAGTGGCAGTGGGGGTCGCAAAATGCCGATTTATTACTAATAAACCCCAATAATCCGATCGAAATGAGGGATTTCGATCGGATCATGGGGGGGGGGGCACGTGCCACCTCCCCCCTCCCACTGCCTGAAACTAATGTAGCTAAACTGCATTTCATATGTTACTCCTTTACATACATTTTGAACAGGCCATTTCATGATTGGTTGTAAATCACCATGAGCCGTGATCCACTGCTGGATAAAGACTTTCCCCGAGCTGCCGCTGGCAATAAATTACAGCATTTTGAAAGCTGAAATCTCATTCAGATAGCACCAAAAAATCCACGGTCCTCCAATTAACCACACCCGAAGTCCGCAGGTCTTGAATGTTTCGGCATTTGTGGTTACGAGCAGCAGCTTCTCCATTGGCCCTAACTCTCCCAAGCCCTCGTCAGTTACTGGCGGGTCGGTGGTGCTAGGCTCTCACAGCTGCTGGCCGGGGTTGTTTGAGGTCTCGTCCACCTTGCGGTCGTACTCCAGGCGCAGGTCCTCGAGTTCGCCGCTGTCCCCGAAGGCCCCCCACTCCATGTTGATGCACATGCGGCCCTCGTCCCCCTCCACCAGATCCACGTTGCGCATCTCCTCCATGTAGCATGTGTTGCACCCCGTGCCTGCACGCGCATGCATGCAGACGCACGCCGCCGCGGTAAGTTTTATGGGGGTGGGGGGGGGGGCCTTGGATAGTTTCAAGGACCCCTTGCTGTGAATTCAATTCCTTCCGTTTGCTGTTTTTACCGCCACCTATGCCACGTGATAAACATTCTTTGGTGACTAACTATGGTTATTTCAGATCTGCTTTTTAAAACGTGATATGCCCCTGTACAACAAACAAATATTGGTTGGTGGTATACAATTATGAAGCTAAATCACAGTTTAAAACCAACAAAATTATTTAAATTTTGATTCTACCACTCTCAGCCTCTGTTTTTGCGAAGAAGGCATATTGCCTTAAGTGCCGCCTGTTATATAGATATTTTATTTTATAACCGTATTATTGGCACATAACATACGGTGAGCGTATGGCTCTCATGATCAAATTACTGCTACCGTATTGCATTTCAATCATAAAGCTGCATATATGAAATATGGGGCCCTCAGCTGTGGCCCATAAAGTCCATGCGTGCACGCACGCACATGGACACCGTCAACCGAGAGCAGCAAGGCTGCGTGGTAATAATGACCCTACGTAGGCTCTGGTTCATTGTCACTGGCACGAGTGCAGGTGGAGTGTTTGAATTGCTGTCGGTTTTACATTCAGAAGGGTCGCGGGTGAAGATGCAGCCGAGCAATTTTTCCGCTCACGTCACTGCTGCCAGAAGAGCTTCCACTCGAGTTAGCTCTCGAGTTAGCTCTCGAGTTAGCTCTAGAGTTAGCTCCAGTGGGAGCCCTTCTCGAGCGTATTTTGGCATACTCTTCCACGCTGGTCAGACGTCTTGCAATAGGCAGGAGTCCCCACACTTTACGCCAACAAGCTCGTCATGCTCCTTGACTAACAGTAGTTTAGTCATTTTTACTGCTGGGTTGACAGAAGTGAGGCAGCAACTCTGGATTGTAGTTACTCGGTGATTAATGTGACACGAGTAAATGTGAATGTTAGTACAAATACGTATAATCCATAAAAAAATATTGCTTTGGAAAGATACTAACTGATAATAAAGATGACCCGATAACATCTATCTCGGTACTTGAATTGTTATTAACTGCTTAATCACGTACATTTGTAAACGGTGCAGGGGTCATGCTCATCTTACCCACAATCATTCCAATCTCCGTGTTGTGGTCCTCATAGTAGCACGAGATCATGGTCGCGACCGTGTCATTCACCATGGCCACCACGTCCATGTCAAAGTCCTGGCCAGGAGGAAAATCATTCACATTTATTCACATTGGCCCTCCTCAAGCCTGCATCGTGACCTCATTTTAAATTAAGGGGGAGGGGGTGTATACAATAACTCAGGGGAGTTACAACGCAGTCAATGTTAAATGCACTTTAAACGAATATTAAATGCTGCAGAGAATGATTAACTAATACTTTTTGTATAGATGATACCGTGTTGGCAGTGGTGCACAAGCACAACAAATATCTCAACACGTTCGTTAGCAACACTGCCTTGACAAAAAAGGATATAAAGGTGACGTTTCGGGCATTGGACCTTCTTTACAGCACAAAGACAGGCCAGAGGTAAAGTCACTCCTAAGGGCTGGGCTCAATCAATTTAATAGATCTTTATTTTTTGTGCCAATATTGCCCTCAATAAAGCCGACATCGGTGCACATTGCAGCAGAACGGGAACGGTGCAGGTGCATGGAGCAATTCAATGCGCCGTTGTTTATCTGTGCAGACTTTTACCCCTCGTCGCTTGATTGCTTCTCGAAGCAGTTCCACCACATTGTTTCCCTCCGCTCCTGTTGCCGTAAATCCTTTTGTCCAGTTTATAAGGATTCCCTGCAACAACAAAAAAACAGCATCTTCAACTGATGTCCAACACGGTCACTTTGAGTATTGCACGTTGCGGTTGTACGTACGTACGTTGAAATCTTTTCGCACCGTACGTAGGCAACCGTGCTAATCGGAGGTGCATGGCAGGTTTTGCCTGTGGTAGGCTCACCTTGTCCAGATCCACGTGTTTAACTGGGAAGGAGAAGGTGAAGCCCAGAGGTAGCTTCTTGTGCTTCATGTTGAGTTTGTCCAGGTAGTTGGCAATGCACTCTGCTATGTAGTCAAACAACTGTTGAATATCAAGCGAGTGACACAAACGCATTGTCTTCCACAGGGCATAGCAGTGGACAGCTCGTGAACACCGTACTTTCTGATTGGTTATGTTGTGTGACTATTCACACAATGGAGGGATGGAGGTGCGACGCTCACAAAAGCGTGGGGAGCACAGATGGTACATCTGCCAGCCATCTCAGTCAGTTAACCCAAAACACTTTTAACACCTCACCAGGTCTCAAAGTGCACCTCGCCTGGCACAAATGCTTTGGTTGATCTAATTGTGATATTGTTATTATTGTTATTTTCTTATTTTTCTTATTTGTTCTATCTACGTGGCTTTACCGAAAGACCCAAAGAATATGTTCTAATTATCACTAAATGGTGAATGACGACTGTTTTGTTGTTGTGTTTCCAGTGTGTCAGTATCCAGCACATGTTTGTTGTGTTTGTTTCCAGTATGGGTGTGTCAGTGGGTATGGGTGATCATGAGCACTAACAGTGGCAAATACCTGACCCGGTCCTGGGTCTCCTCCAGGTCGAATCAGCTTCAAATGAGTAGCTGGTGCAGTGTATAAAACATCAGCACTGGGGAGACAAAGGCGGCTGAGCATGGTGGTGGCCACACCACCCCCTCCTGTGCCGTGCTTGCTCACAGAAGTGCTCCCTAACAGCACTTTACCCAACAGTCTGTTAAAGGCTATACGGGGGATCTTTGTCTTGCATTAGCAATTCCACCCAGCCAGCCAGGCAACCTCAGTATATCTCCATAATGTTTAATGTGAAAACTGATGCTTGTTCTTCAGAGGTAAAATTGCCATTGTGATAATGTTAACCGTGATATTATCTTGACTCCATCATTATGTCATCACTTATGGTATTGTTTACATGCGATTCAGGAAAAGACAACGGGGTTTTGTCAGCATTGTGCTGTCCGTTTTCCCTGTAGGTCGATCTCTCTGTGTAAACTGCACGAACCATTTCACGCATCATTTAATATGTTGACATCGGAACAAGCGCATTTGGCTCATGAGACTTCTGTTCCCTTAACTTAACTGCTCACGCGACATTAGGCAAAACAAAGCTTGCCTGTGGAGATGGAGAGTGTGTGGTGCATGTGTTGGGTTATGAGTGGAAATATTTTTTAAAGGACTAAAAGCATACATGAGCAGAACCCCATTCTGTCTTCACATCATGCTACTATAAAACAAATATATATGCTTTGAGTTTCCGGGCTGGCTGCTGAGTCGGCTCATCTCCACCCTAACAATAACTCTCTTGTTAGTGGCTGCGGGTCGTTGCCACCGAAGCTAGCTGGGTAACTGGTTAAATGCAATTTTCCATGTAATAAATAATTATTGCATTGGAACGGTGTAAGCAGTTCTAAAGTCGTAATAATATATGGCGACACTGAAGAGGTGAGAGTAACGAATACAGAAGACTGACACGGTAAATTAAAATTGATCTCACTCTTCAATTTGCGCTCCTATTAAAGCAATTCTTTTTCCAGAATATTCTTTTAACGCTGTAGAATATAAAACAAAAAGTTAAATACGTACTTTATTGCCATTTTATTATTACATAACAACGCAGATTACTTTTAGTGTTTCAGGTACATTGATTTTGAGAAGATTGTGCAAATGACAGATGTCTCTTATATTCCATTGCACAGCAATGGCTTCTCTAGTTGTATAAATAAATACATAAACGGAACTCCTTTGCAGAACAATTTTATCAAGTGGCATTTGTTTCCACAAGCAAACTCTGAATGCATAATACATGTTTTTTTGGGTTAGATCGCATAAATATATAAATGTGTCGTTAAACCTGCCACCACCCGACACAGCCAATTCGTAAGGTTTGTCACGTAAACAGAACATGCCAAGTCGTTACTACTGTCGGCCTGGAGTAGTAATTACGGTCATGGCTGCATGACATAATGCCTTATTATAAGGGGGCGTATCTGAGGTAAAGGTGAAAGGCGGATTCAGTCGAGAAGCTCCGGGAACAAGCTCGAAGGTTCTGGAAAGGGGGCGTGGCCAGAGGTGGGGCTGGGTCCTGGCTGCGTCGCTGCTCATCATCATCTCTCCGTCTCCGATCACGTGGCTGATCTTCTGGAAGACTCTCTCCGTCGCCACACTGGTCGAACAGCTTGCGTAGCGAAGCCGGAGATGGGGCTACATGTTAGGATCGCCTATGTGTTGCTGCGTTACGTAATGTATTGCCCAGTGTGCTCTTAACAAATAAGAAGCCTTCTACTCGACGTGTCTCGGAAGTCACTCACTACACTAGTACAACACACCGGTGTGTTGGAGAGCCAAGCCACAACATTTACAATCTATGTACGACGTTTCGCCAGTAATTACAACTAGCTTCATCAGGCGACAGCCAGATTTATAGAGAAGTCTAACTGCTTTGTTCCTTAAATACTCTGGATGGGTATGATTTTCTGGGTCTCGACAGCAAGAATCAGGGGTGCCACAGTGTCGAGATTTTTTCTCCCTCGCCTGGTATGGAGGTCGTGGTTCGATCCCGACCCTGACGCCTGTATATTTGGATATTGAATGTTCTCCCCGTAGTTACGTGGATGTTTCTCACGGCCTCCAGTTTTCCCCTCCACATTTAGAAACATGCGTTTAGAGTATTTGTCTGCTATAAATTTCCACCTGATAAGCCACCTCGTAGAGCTATATAATTTGTGACCAGGTCGTTTCTGAAAAATACCTAATCGCTCAGTGGGCTCTACCTGGAAATTAGTTTTTATTGTGGTTTAATAGAATCTGGCAAATGTTGTTGGATTTACTGATGTTTTTGGCAAGAGCACTGAATATAATTTATGGGACTCCGTTCAGGGCAAACATCCAAAAGCAATACTTTACACAAATACGTTATGGCACATTCACGACTGACCATCTCTGCAGTGCCCGTCATGACGTCCTCGGGAATGCAGTAGAGCTCATTCTTGGTATCCACCCTCCACTCGCCCTCCTCGTTCTGTCCCACTTTCACGAGGATAACTCGGAAGTTTGTTCCACCCAGGTCCAGCGCTAAGAAGTCACCCACCTCTGCAAAGGAGGTTCACACCAGGGCCCGGTATGAGCCATATCCGTAGACACAGCAGGTACGGTACAGATACTGTTAATTGAAACAGGGAATAAAAAGTTGAACACGTAGGCTTTCGCGACCACTATTATTCATAATAAAGGTTTTTGAGTTAGATCGCATAAGTATAAATGTGTCGCAACCCTCCACCACCCGACACGGCCAATCAGTGAAAAATGTGTCAAGTTAACAAAACACTAATTAGTTACTCCTTCAGCCCACCGGTGTATTTGAAGAGTGAATCCACAACATTTATAATTTTAGTACCATGTTTCTCTGGTAATTACATCCAGCATCTTTGGGCGATTTGCCAGAATCGTGAAGCCATCCACCTGCTTCCGGTCTTAAATAGTGCAGGATCAGAGGCGGATGTGGAGGGGTATTGTAATTTTTAATAGATTAGTAATCAGTTAATTAGTATGTGATTCCTCTATAAGGAAATGTAATATGTATTGTGTATTCCTTAATTATAATATGCTTCCAGGCTGCGCTAAGTCTGTAGCTATCAGAGCGGTTAAAATGATTGGTATTTTTCTCGATTTCGATGGATTCTCTAATTAGTCTGGGCCAGTTCTAATTAGCTTTGCATAACACTTCAACGTTATCAAAATCAATTGAGTGTCCTTGTTGGCAATCATGTTTTGCCACTGCTGACAGCTGTGTTTGAGAGAATTGAATGTTCCTTTGGTGTTCTTTTAGTCTTACGTTAATGTTACGTCCCGTCTGTCCAATATAGCATTTACCGCACAAGCAATTGATCCGATATACACCTTATTATGAGGGAATAAAAAGCATGCGAACGCACGGATTCTAAAACTTTTTTTTAACGTGCGTTTGTCCTTCGGAAGTAATTCATCAGCAATGATCGCATTACCTTCAAAGTTGCACAACGACATTGTCACTTGGCGCATGATGCGAAGGTGTCATGTGTGATGACGTCATCGGGAGTGGGTAGGTGACATGACATCATTGCCTTGGCCGGTAAGGCTTATCCTCCACGCGCTCGAATTTATCTCCATATTTTTTTTATCAATGTGGCTGGATTTCTCTAGCGAAAATGTCTAATAGCAACGCAACTTTATTCGAAACCCTGCGTTTACACTGGATCTTCTTTGTGACAGTTATCGTGTTACCCCCATTATAGATCGACATACGAACAGCCCGAATGTGTTCAATCAACTTTAAACCTCAACTGCAAAGGCTTCAAAAAATAATTTCCACAGCTCACCAGAGCCGTCAGGGGTGGAGCGGACATAGGTGGGCAGCATTTTCACACTGGCTTCCTGGTGGGTCTCCAGCCGAAGCCCTCGCTCCATCTCCCTGCGCATTCTGTGCATCACCTCCTCCAGCTCCTGTTGGTCCAGCACAAACTCCAGCAGCAGCTGCTCCACCTGCAGCCCCGCACGCACAGACAACAGACACACACACCGTTGCAGCATTCGCAATCCACTTCAGCAACATCCGTGCAGCTCCTTACTATTAAAATTCCTTCCCTTTATTACTGCTAACCCTACCTCCTCCCTTTGCTGCTACTAATCCTACATAATGCACGGGCATAATATGACTTTGAGACCCCCCCCCCCCCTCCTACGCATTCCACAAGTAGTGACTAATCCCATATCTGCATTTGCCATAAATATGCTAAATTCTTCTGTTGATATGCAAATTCCTTTGTCAAGGCGCCCTTCCTCCTCTAACCCAGCTTAATTATACGCTGCCAAGCTTGGTGGTGCTCATTCAGACGCTGTCTTTCCGACAGACCTGTTCTTCACCTGAGGACGGCTGCTTGCGTTGTGGCCGAAACGTCGTGAGAATTGTATTTTATTATGTTTTATTTTTATTATTTTATTATTTCCCTTCTACGTGACCTTACCGAAAGAACCAAGAAGAACATCCGTGTGCTGTTGCATCCCTGCGCCTGTTTATGCTCATGCATTGAATCCCATTCACGGCACCGTCCAGCGACCATTGCTTTCGAGCGAAACTTCCCCGTCAATCTACGCTGAGTATGAGGTCGCTCTTTCTCCCCAGCTGGGCCCGATTGGAAAGTTACCTGTGCTCTTGACTTCCTGCCCTCGTTCAAATTCAGACTGAAGATCTTCCTGTTGTTACTCTTCCTATGACTGACTGCCTCATTTCCCTTATTATAGATTTGCGCATTGTCTCTGTACCGTGTATTGAGATTCAATTGCACTTAAATTATATATTAAGTATTTGAATTGTACGATATAAATAAGCAAAAATTTTTTTTTCAAAGGTCAAGAACCTCCCAAAAAGTTCTCAGAAATAGGATAGGAGCTGAAGATGTTTCCGTTGACTAATTGCCATTATTTTTTCATGTTATATTTTGGAAGGAACAAGTTACCATCCAATGTATTTAAACAAATATAACGTATAATGTTCCTTTGAATATCCTTGATCCCAATGTGTTCATAAACATAAAGGTATCACCATGAATGTGCAAAGCATTAACCATCTGAAATGAACTTAACAAAGAAAGCAAAGATGATTCGTTGGAAGATACGTGTGCTGCTGGATAAAGGCCTCCCTCTACCATTGCTACAACCAATATCTCTCCTGTGCAGAAGCCAGTCTCAATGCTTCATCTGCATGGTGGCTGACCTCTCAGGCATCTTTTCTCCTTTGGATGTCATTGTATCATCAGCCTCGTCCATTAGCCATCATCGCGACTCATGATGTATACTCCCTAAGCTACTTACTTTCCTTATTTTTCAATGTGAAGTTTACCGTTCGTGTTTGTTCCATGATCCATGTATTCCTCTTTCTGCAACAGTGTAAATACAAACACACAACTCTCCATACTTCTCTGTGCAGTTTAAAGCTTCTTTTCCTATTTTATTTGTCATTCATGTTTCTAACCCAAATGTCATAAGCATGTAATGTATACTGATTGCTCATAATTTCTTGGAGTGCACTAGTATGTTGCCATTTATTATCAAATTAAGCTTTCCAAAAGTACTACATCCTACTCTCATTCACCCCTTAATCTAATTTTTTTCTTGGATCTGCCTTCGATACTTACCATAGATATGCATATCCTGCTGCAAGTTTATCGTGTGTATATTGTACCAAGCTCTGTATCCTTCTTCATTGGTTATTTGTAATTAACTACATCATCAGCAATTCTGTAATGGTGCATCCTTTCTCCACTTGTTTTTGCCCCTAATTTCTTCCATACAATTTTTAAAAAATATCTTTTACAGTTGATGTAAATAGCCATGAATAGTGTTATTTCCTTGTCCGATTTATACGCTGCTACTTTATGCAATATATGGTGATGTGCCTCTTTCACATCAGTGTAAATTTTTATATTTAATTAAGGCTTGTGAGAGCTTAGTTTTCATTTAATGGTATGCACTTGTATAGCCTAAAAAAGGCATGTTATTTGATGTTCGTTAGTTTTTTCCAGGGCCTGATTCATCTTGTGTATTTGTCAACTCTCAAAAAACGTCATAAATACAGCTTGTTCTCTTGGTGGGTTGGCATCTAAATTGTCCATTATCCAGTTCTATTGATATTCATGAACAATGTACCGTATATATTTCAAGTACGAACTATGTACAAACTATAATATAACAAGCTTGGCAAATGCTAAAGTCTAAGCTAATCTGCCTACAAGTTTCCATATATGGTTGCTTATATTTTGTGTTAAACCCTAGGCGTAAACTTTTTATCACCTTGCAGTGATTGTAAAAAATGTTGTAACGCCTCAGAGTGCAAAGGTAACAATAAAAAATTTACCCGTAAAAACAAAGTTTTTCACTATAAATCCTTTATATGCGTGGCATCGGTTTTATTTTATTATTCATTTCTGTTTTTCTTGAGTAAGAGTTTCATTTTTATCACATTGGTATTTTAAATTAAATATGAAACATTTTTTTTCCTAAAAAGTGGAAAATTTTGGAAAAAAATTTCACGAAAATAAATTGTCACGGACAACGAGTCTGTGTGCAAAATGTCAGCTCGATAGGATCACGGGAAGTGGGTTAAAAAAACGACCGAAAGATTTGCACGGTCGTAAGCGCACAAGCAAGCAAGCAAGTGAACTTAATATAAAGGATTTAAAAATATATGATTATTTTCAAATAAAACGCATGCACAGGTATTGCATCTATGATCGAACTCACTCTAAAATCTTATATGAAGGCGCACATTATTTGCTTTTGATTGATTCCAACATTGCCTGTACAAAACAACAAACATTTTCATCCTTAAGTGTATCTGGATTTCATTCCTCTGAAAATATTTAGCTTAGATCCTTGCTGACATTGTATTAAACGTACCTTCCTGTTTCAATATTAATGCTGTGGTTGTCATATATTCACATGTCCCTCCAAAGTTCTCTAAATGCGAAAGATGTAACACTGAAAAATTAGCATAGTCAATTACTTTGCACAAATTCACAGACAGAATCTCACCTCCGCCTCGTGGTCCATTGAAATGCTTCTATAATGATGGTGGTTTCCGATATAAAAAAGAAAACAAGATATTTCAATCAGGTAACTTTCGTGACTAAGGACATCCAGACGCAATCATCTCCTTCAGCTTGCTGCCTCCACGCCCTGACACTCTTCGGATAGGGTCTCACGCTGCAAGTGAAGAGTGTCACACGTGTTGCCCAACCCCTTTTGGCGGCACTGCAGTAACAAATGGCAGCAGAGCAGAGACCTCCCCAACTGGGTCCCTTTGAGCAGTCATCCCCAAAAGGGCAGCACCATGGTAACATGTTTATAACCTCGGTGCTCAACAAGTAGATCGTGAGGTGCAGAATTGAATATGTATGTATGGTCCACAATGAGATGGGTTTTTTTCTTCTTGGTTCTTTCGGTAAAGTAACGTAGAAGGGAAGTAATAAAATAATAAAAATAAAACATAATTGAATAATTCTCACGACGTTTCGGCCACAACGCAAGCAGCCGTCGACCTGGTTTTCACCTGAGGACGGCTGCTTGCGTTGTGGCCGAAACGTCGTGAGACTTATTTTATTATGTTTTATTTTTATTATTTTATTACTTCCCTTCTACGTGACTTTACCGAAAGAACCAAGAAGATGAATCCCTGCAGTCACAAAAGCTTTAAATCGAGATGGGTTTTTTTGTTTACTTTGTCTTATGCCTGATGTTAAAAGTGCACTCCAGTCAGGACTGTGTTGCTTCTTCAGTGACAATTGGGTGACTAAAGAAAATGGGAAAGTCATTATTTTCACATTGTTTATGAATAAGAACCATAATTTATTACGTCTGGTTTTGGTAAGCCCGTTGAACGTGATGGCCATCAAGTTGTCATTACCTGCTATGCAATTCAACCAAGCAAGTGGCCATGAATGCCACTTGATTTAATCAAGACCAACCCATTTGAATCCATATGAGGAAAAGAGCCACCTCCAACAAGGATATGAACACCACTGGATGCGAATCCCTCCATCTGTCACGATTCCACCTGTGTGTGAGCTCCCACGTGTCACAACACCAGTTGGATATGACCCTCCCAGATATTCGAGTTACTTTGAATATAACCCCCCCTACCATAGGCGTCGCAACCCCCTCTAGGATACAAGTATGGTTACCTCTGCAAATACATTTTAAAGTATTCCAATTCAATGTTCCTCGCATCTGTGCTGGATAAAATAAGTGCTGTATTAAGTTTAATGCGGAGGCTTTCCAGAACCAATACTATTCATCATTGAGTTTTGGGTCGCCTAAGTAAAATGTGTCGTAACTCCACCTCCACCCAACACGGCCAATTAATAAAGGTGTCACCGTGAACAAACGTACCAATGTATTACTGCTTCCGCACACCGGTGTGTTGGTGAGCAATCCGCAACATTTAACTAATTGATACGACATTTCGCTGGTATTTACAACGAGCATCATCAGGCCGGTGCCAGAAATCTGAAATATCCAGGGTTATTATCCGAGTGGCCAGTTTGCATGTTGAAATTCCGAACCTTAGGTGAAAAACAATTCTCTAGTTTAGCATATAAAGCGAAAACAAAATAAAACAAACTTGAGGCGTCGTATGTAGTCAAACATGTTATCACTCAAATTGGGAAGTGTGTAATGCATGCGAGCTGCCAGTGGGTGGCGTGAGATTGATTAGTGGCGTCGTGTGACCCCGAGTCTCACGCCTTAATGCGTGAGAGCGTGAGGCTCACGTGTGTCCATGTGAGTCTCATGCCTTGATGCGTGAGAGCGTGAGGCTCAACATGTGGACCCATGCATGAGTCCCGCACGAGGGCACCGAGTGGCCTCATGCTCCTCGCGGGAACTCTGCCCACCCCGCAACCCCTCACCGCCCACCCCACCCAACCCCCCCACCCCTCCAACCCCCCCCAACCCTCCAACCCCCCCAGCCCCATCCAACCTCCCCACCTCCAAACCCCCTAGCCCTCCCCACCCATCCAACCCTCCAACCCCCGAACCTCCCCAACCCTCCAACCCCCCAACCCCCGTCCACCCTCCAACCCCCCCAACTTTCCAACCCACCAACCCTCCAACCCCCCCAACCCCTCCAACCCACCAACCCCCTCCAACCTCCCCATCTCCAAACCCCCTAGTCCCCCCCACCCATCCAACCCCCCCACCTCCAAAAACCTGGGCCCTCCCCACCCATCCAACCACCCCTCCAACCCCCCAACCCCCCCCAACCCTCCACCCCTCCAACCCCCCCACCTCCAAACCTTCTAGTCCCCCCCACCCATCGAACCCCCCCACCCCTCCAACCCTCCAACCCCCTCTACCCCTTTAATCCCCCCAACCCCTCCACCCATCCAACCCCCAAACCCCTCCAACCCCCCCCACCCCCAACTTCCGCCCCCCACCCCCCAACCTCCACACCCCCCCCCCCCAACTCTTATCAACCCACCCCCATCCAACCCCCCCAAACCCCCCACCCCTCCATCCCCCACTCCCCCAACCTACACCCCCCACCCCCCAACCTCCTCCTCCCCCCACCCCCCCAACCTCCTCCACCCACCCCCCCAACGTCCTCCACCCCCCCACCCCCACAACCTCCTCAACCCCCCCAAACCTCCTCCACCCCCCAACCCCCCCAACCTCCTCCACCCCCCCACCCCCCCAACCTCCTCCACCCACCCCCCCAACCTCCTCCACCCCCCCAACCTCCTCCACCCCCCACCCCCCCAACCTCCTTCACCCCCCACCCCCCCAACCTCCTCCACCCCCCACCCCCCCAACCTCCTCCACCCCCCACCCCCCAACCTCCTCCACCCCCCACCCCCCAACCTCCTCCACCCCCCACCCCCCCAACCTCCTCCACCCCCCACCCCCGCAACCTCCTCCACCCACCCCCCCAACCTCCTCCACCCCCCACCCCCCCAACCTCCTCCACCCCCCACCCCCCCAACCTCCTTCACCCCCCACCCCCCCAACCTCCTCCACCCCCCACCCCCCCAACCTCCTCCACCCCCCACCCCCCAACCTCCTCCACCCCCCACCCCCCCAACCTCCTCCACCCCCCACCCCCCCAACCTCCTCCACCCCCCACCCCCCCAACCTCCTTCACCCCCCACCCCCCCCAACCTCCTCCACCCCCCACCCCCCCAACCTCCTCCACCCCCCACCCCCCCAACCTCCTCCACCCCCCACCCCCCCAACCTCCTCCACCCCCCACCCCCTCAACCTCCTCCACCCCCCCACACCCCCAACCTCCTCCACCCACCCCCCCAACCTCCTCCACCCCCCACCCCCCCCAACCTCCACCCCCCACCCCCCACCTCCACCCCCCACCCCCCCCAACCTCCACCCCCCACCCATCCTTATCAACCCACCCCCATCCAACCCCTCCCCACCTCCAACCCCCTAGCCCCCCCCCACCCATCCAAACTCCCCCACCCCCACCCCTACATCCCCCCACCCCCACCCCTCCATCCCCCCACCCCCACATCCCCCCGCCCCCACCCCGACTCCCTTGGCCGTCATGGCGCGGCTGTCGGGCTGGACTCTGGGTCAACTGCAGCTCGCACAGCTCAGCAGTGCCTCGGACCACGTAAGTCGATGCCTTCTCATCGTGAGGAAGAAACACAACGCACGCGTACACACTGTGAATTGTAACCACAACATTGATCACTAACACACACACACAGAGACATTAACACGGTAGACCTTAAGACAAAAGGCGGATGCTGTACTAGGCGAGACTTGGTGTGCTACCCGCCTTGGTAATTATCGCATCGTGAACAGTCTCCGTTTATTTAATCGCAGGTAAATGATTTATTTTGCCGAAAGAATGCTCGCTATAGCCTATGGCAACCACAATTAATTTGTGCCGGGGATTCAACGAGTAAAGTCGGGGGCGCGATTCTCAGGTTGAGGCCCAGTGCCGGGCTCTCATCAGCACTGCCACCGCCGGCTTTCATCTCCATCATCATCATCAGCATCATCACTAGCCGTGATCAATCCACTGCTGGATGAATCTACCTCGCACCCAGGGTGACCAACTCACTATCCGACCCGCTACTTCATTTCCTCCCTGGGCACATGTGATGCCGCTGTGAAACAGGCCTCAGAACCATATCTGTCGGTCATTGTGTAACACTCATCGTCTAAGCAGCACCAATCGGGGTTACTAGAGGGCAGTATATTCTTGGTTCTTTCGGTAAAGTCACGTAGAAGGGAAATAATAAACTAATAAAAATATTAAACAATACAAATCTACCTTCTACGTGACTTTACCGAAAGAACCAAGAATATGAATCCCTGCAGTCACGAAAGCTTTAAATCTAAATATTAATGAAAAGGTAAAGGTGTGGACCTGAAAGAGCTTGCTAACGCCACTGTCGGCGGAATGCCCTCCATTAGAGCGACATCTGAAGAGCTCCTTATAGATGGGTTTTTGGCCTCCTCTTCCACGCTGGCCAAACGTCTTGGATGAAGTGGCAGTCCCCAAACTTGACTCCACTACTGTTGACCTACCGATCAGCGTGGAAGAGGAGGACAGTATGTTTCACCTGTCAAACGTGCTTCTAAGTTGTTAACCGCCCAGTCACCTGTAAAGGTGAGCCCTAATCATTTTGCTCGAGTTGGATGACGTCAAGGTGTGTATGCTCATGTGTGGTGGCTTCCCTAAGGCATTTGGTTCGACCTATTTAGCTCTCGACGAGGCTCAGATGGACATTTGGTTTTGGCTCTGCGACTTAGGAGATGGACATACTCGCATCACTCGCCAATGATGTCCTTGGTCAAGAATTAAAAGGTGGCCTTGTTCATAGCTCAGTGCGCTAAGCGTTGCGCCACCGCTCCACAGTATAAAACATTTGTAATCGGGTAGAGTTGGGTTTTTTTAAAACCGAAACTCGTAAAAAGATGGAAACACAAGATGGATCCTTTCTCAGAAGTTCAGCCTACTACTGTATAATGTTCTGATAAATTACGAAGGTGGTGGGTTTTTAATTTGTGTTTGTAACATGGATTTATAAAACATGAAGAAGAAACACCTTCTGTACTCTTAGTTCTTTTAATTTAATTTTTTACCTACGTGACTTTATCGAAATAACTAAGAGTATGAATCCTTGCAGTCACGAAAGCTTCAAATCTAGACACATGTTCTGGTAAGTTAAATTACCAAAATTCACCCTGTCAACTCAGCATCACTAAATACTAGAGTAAAAAAAAAGTGTTTTAGCTCTCTTGCATAAGGCCGACACTTCTTTGCTGCAGTAGGATTGTGTTAGAACTGAGAGATATACCGCCATTATATAACAATGTGTTATGTTGCCGTTGAGTGTCATCGGTTACCTAACATTCACTTTACTGTTCGAAGTAAAATATCTTTAAAATAGTTTGCATGTTAAAACGTTTCTTGAAATTGTAAGATGCTTTAGTAAGGATAATTTTCCGATGTGGTGTGATGAGACACCAGAGTGTACAGATGTCGCTATTAATTGTAATCTATATTGTGTGTCTCCATAACATTTCTTTCAGGAAGGATTTTTGCTCGGTGATGTGAGAGAAGATGAGGTCAGAAGCATAAGTGATTCGAACATTAGCAATGTAGAAAGCAAGCAAGTGTTAAGTAAGTGCACCAAAAAAACATGCAATATTCACTGAGGAAAATGTATTTACAGTGATATTGAAATTGTACGTTTTTATTTTGTTTTCACAGGTATTTACAGTCATATCCCATGCACTAGATTGGCCAGGTGAGTGAGTTCCTTAATAATATGACTGCAATTGAGTTGCTTTTGGATATCGAAATTTGTATGACTGCCAATGCAAAGCTTTTACAAATACCACTTGTGTAATACTTTTGCTTCTTTTGTTTAAACAGTTTTTACAACAGCGTTGCTATCATTAATGAAGATACTCTTGGTAACATTATTAAGAGCAAAGAGAAGGTGAGTTGAAAACGTGAGCATAAAATAAACACTACAGTGCTTTACTAAAACTTAAACATAGGTACTTAGTGCACATGTTATTTTGGAAAATTCTTAAAATGATTAAGGTCTAATGTAACATTGACTTATCCGTTTCCAGGAAGTTATCGGATTTTATAAATTTCGCTGGGAGAGTGACCAGAAGATTTCCTTCCGGGAACAGTTGCTGCTACAGAGGCTACGGGACACACTACAAGTGCCTGACCTCGTCTTCCTGCTCTTCACCATGGCGTCATCCTCAAACCGTGCCACTTACACCATGGAATACACACTCTTTAAGCCTAATGGAAGGTAGATGTGCAGGTGCTAAATATTGGACGTTTTACTTTTTGTCTGCATTAGTTTTATATTTCTAATTACAGTAGTAGTTAATAGTACAAGAGCAGGTGGTGGATATTAACTTAATTTTATTATTTGCTGTAAAATGTCTTTAGTCTGATTCATAATTTACGAATACTTTTTTGGCTTTTGTAGTTTTATATTAAAATAAATTAGTATGGGGAGAAAAAATACTATTGTTGGGTGTACATTGAGATTGTCGGGTGAAGGGTTTGACATATGGCAGGCAAGTGTGTTAAAAAAAACCAGCCGAGTATATGTTGGAAATATCAATATCACTCGCGCATCTGCAGCACTCACCCCTTTATGGAACCCTTTGCGATGACATCAGCCATATGTTTACAGAACAACCTTATTTTTTCATGACGTACAAGTGCACTGCCATCTTTTAGAGCTCTGGCTGTTACTAGTAGAAAATATTGTCAATGACTTATTTTATCATCGAAATGTATTTATTACTGTCAATATATAGAATAAAAATATGGTTTTCATAAAAGTCTCTTACAAACCTGAAGTAATTCTAGATATGCAGTTTTTACAAAATTTTTATAGTGTTCTTTTATATATTATTGAAGTTTAAGAACAATAACATTCATAGAAAATGTATGGCACTCAATATAAATTACACGCTTGATTTTGTACTGTCTAATAGATGTTTAAAATGTACCTCATTAACACCCTTATTCTGACTTGTCTATAAGGTTTTATGAGCGAATTCCCATGACCATCAGTAATTTGGGACAAAGTGGGTTGGAATCCTATTGGGATATTCCTCCTCCCTGCCATTCTACCACTTGCAGGAATCTTCTGTCCAGGTTTGGGCTCGCATATATTCACGAAAGTGCAGTCATGAAATGATGTTTGCAAAATATATTTTAAATGTTTTTGGGTTTACCGCCTATTCTCCTTGTCCGACTTTTGGGTCCATGTGCTAGGAGCTTCTTCAGCATATGGAGCAAAACTTTGACATCATGTCAAACAACACTTAGTATAATCCAAAAAAACCTTTCACAGTTCTATATAAACTATCAATTATTTTGTCTTTACATTTTAGATCCAAATTTGTGACCAACAATGGTGAGATGCGAGATGTAAACAACATCCTTCAACTGAACACAGAACTGCAAAACAAGCTGGAGGTGAATCTTGTAAAATTATTACATTAAAACATTTACATTATTTTAGAAAGCATTTTTTGTGTAATTTCTGATATTTGATGAAGGAAAATGTTGTGTGTGTGTATTTCGTATAATTTTGATGCCTATATTTTGCCCCCAGCATGCATGCAGTGATGTTTTAGATGGTGAGCGCTCTGTGGAAGTTCTTTTTGCTGAGATTAGTAGCCTAAAGCAAGCCATCGAAGAAAAGAAGAAAGATGCATTGTTGAAATGTAATATTTACAAGATCTCATACACATTCGATCTAATACTTAACCGTTGGTTCGAAATGATCTGCTTTTGATGCTTTCCAAATAAGGTTAAAAGCATGTATGCATTACCTCTGTCTAGAATAGGAGGGGGGTATGGTTACTCTCAATATGAACAAAAGTTTATTCGAAGGTTGTGCTACTATTAGGGTGTGTCGTAGAGAAAACGGCCAAATTTCTTACAGGATTGCTAAAAAATTGACAAAACCAGCGCACATTTTTTTTCATTGGCGCTTGCAGGATAATGGCCCATGAGCCCCTGTCTTCCCTCTAGGGCTGTGACCGGGACTAGCGGTAGCATGCTTGCAGCTTGACGTTTATATCAGTGGCCAACCTATATTTTGATCTATGGGTGTAGTAACCGTAATAATATGCGCCATCTGCTTCAGTAGACGTTAATGATCCCTGTGATGTCATTTACAATAGCCTAAGAGTAGGCTATTGTGTGTTGGCATCAGGCTCCAAATTTGAAAATTACCTATCCCAGGTCACTCTTGCAAATGAGTCTATCCTGGTCTCTTGAGTTCTCACCTGGTTACACAAAATTAACTTAACATTTGGAACTTCCCATGATTTAATTACACGTGACATCTTGTAACATCACTTCACGCACCTTTGTGACTTCCATCTTGCGTAGCTTGAAACGTAGCGTCATAACTAATATACTTCCAAGAACAAACAACATTTTGGAAAAGCATTCAATAATCCACGCATTTGAATAATATTTGTTGTATTTGTTCAATGCAATATTAGGTGAGCGTTCTATTATTTATGTAGTTGAAATAATTGTAATGTGTGTTTGCAGCAGCAACGAACCTTCAGGGAGAGAACAGCTTCAGAGTGAACCACGATTTGGAAGCTGCACTGATGCGGGAGTTCCCAAACTCTGTGGAGATTCGAAGCACACGTGTGAATATGAACTGCACGGTTGTGCTGTCTGACATAAATGCAGACGTTCAGCAAAGAGGCAGGTTGAGAGGTAGTAGAACATCTCCAAATAGTCCAAAACCTGTAAAAAGGGATCATAAAACAAACCATATTCCCACATCATCAAAGTCGGAACTTGTGAAAAAATCTGAAGTTTCCTTGAGTAAAAGTGTCAAATTGAAAAGATCGATTGCCAGCAACTCATCATCCCATGTATTTCCAACTGTAGCTACATCCCAATTTAACCAAGGATCTAGCCTTAATCCTAAAGCAACAAATGTCAAGAATGTAAAATTTACTCCTTCAAAGTTGTCAAGCAAACAGACAGGTGTTAAAGTAAGTATGGGCTTGAGCTTGTCTGAAAAGAAGATTTTGGAGGAAACAGAAGAATTAAAGACTGAGCTTTCCAATGACCATATAGAGTGCATAAACATAACTAGTTCATCGGAAGCTGAAGAGCTGAGGAAAAATGACAAAACAGAGCAATTGCCTTCAACTAGTCATGTTGGAACGCGGTTATCAACAAGAAGCTGTTCAAAAAACGCTCAAAGCAGCAGAGGTGCTACCCAACGAGAAAATGTAGCTACAGAAACATTAACAATCGCCTCGGTGTCACTCGGCGACCGGCGACCGAGCCAAAGTGTGGCCACCGCTAAATTTGGCCCAACGAAGAGGTGCCGGTCCAAAACACAAAATCAGAAGATTGATAGTATGCAAGTAACACGAGGAAAAACAGCAGTAAAATCTATGAAGTATGAGAAAATCTCGAGTGGACAGAATCATGTGAATATAGAAATTGAGACCTTGAATGATTCATTGAATGCCTGCGTCTCCTCAAACTCCCCAACATTCTGAAGCTGAAATGGTCGCATAAAAAAAAAACTTTCGATCTAATGCAATTGTATGTATACCATATTTGACAAATGTACAATTCTAATCTTTTTTTGTAAAGTCATGTGGTTATGTACCTTCCACAGTGATGATTTTTGTGATGAAACCTATTACCATGCATTGACCTGCTTTGCCCCAGCTAAGCCACAGATTACTTCCTATCCTAAACTTATGTGTACTTGATATGGTTGCATCTCCAAATATTAAAAAAACATTGGTACCACAAATGATTCCGCCCCTGAAACGCGCACTGCAGGGGAGGTACATACAGCAAGTGGTTTAAATTCTGGTATCTCAGTTGATGAGTTTTCCCATGGGTGGTTGTGCAATATCAATAATTAAACTCGTGTATTAAAATGACAGCACAAATAATTCCCATCGATAGGCTGGATAAAGTAAACATTGCCTGTAAGGACAACTGTCTCGACATCAAGTTTGTTTAATCAGGTGAGAACTCAATACCAGAAATTTCTACTTTTTAAGGTTGACCATAATTATAGCCATGATCAATCCACTTGCGAGATAGCCTCAGCTGCTGTCACCACTTGTACATTAACTTTTTAAATCGCTGAACTGTGTAATAAATTTCTAGTGCTGTAAGTTAATCGAATCTTATTACAACTTCCAACTTAAAAAAAAACTTTTGCTGTCTTGAACATCACAAGTTATGTGCGTTGTGTTTGTATTGGAGTACCTTCATGTGTTGGGTATGTAAGTGAAGGCATATAAAAGAGTTCAGGAAGGGATCATTGGAAGCAAATTCAAATGCTGTTTTGTAGAGTGTGCGATTATTTTTAATGACTTGTCCATGCAAAATAAAGGCCGTATAATTTAAGCTCGGTAAGGTAACTTTAAATGGTCGGACTTTTAAAATGAATTTCTAGGCACGGCATATTTAAGATTATAGTACCCCATACTGTCTAATGTGATCGTCGTTCAATAATTTAAAACGTAACATTTGTTTTTTAAGTTTATCAGTCGTGTATTTAGTCATTCACGTGGCTTTGTTTAGTGCTAACCTTACAGCAACTAGACATTTGGCCAAAATATAATTGAGAACTGTTCAACGCATACTGGATATGGTGTTGGGCTAAGACAACTCTGGATAAGACTCCCATCAATATAAATCTTTCCTAATGGGACGTCAGGGAGTGCAAGCTGCATCGATCACTGTGTGGTGGAGAGTATATGAAGCCGAATGGTAGTATCCATTACCTCCACGTTCCTGCAATGAGCGAGTTCCCTTAGGACCTTAAGTGACTGAGATCCTATACTGTATCCTTTCCTACGTGCCTTCTGGCGCATTTAAGGTGTCACGCCTGTGTATGTGAAATTACATCATTCGCGTGTAAGGAAACGTTTGTTTTTTTACGTCGTTTAAATCGAATTACTGCTCGACTGATATATTGTACTGTTATGAGAAATGATTAAAGATGTAATGTACATACAACAATGTATTGTGTTGTGTACGTTTTTACCAGCATTCATACAAACGTGCATAACGTACAACATTGATGTAAATGTTTTTTTTAATGTCCACCCCCTTTCAATCCGTTGCTGAATGAAGGGCTCCCAGTCCTCGCTGGTTATGAGAGTTGGTTAAGAAGACCACTCCAAACCAACTCCCATGATCAACGAGGACTGGTTCAGTTATACGCCGTTGATATAAACACATTCCTGCGGAGGGAGCTGGTAGGAACGATGGGTTGCTCGGTCAATGCCCAGGGTCAACGGCGGCGTGGTGTATTCCGCAAATATGCCCGACTGTGAGGGCGGGCACAAGGCGGCGTGAGTAGGTTAAACGTTGAGTTTTATAAGGGCACCACGGGGTGACCAGCCTTTCCCCACCGAGTCCCTCCCCACCCAGCCCCTCCCCACTCAGCCCCTCCCCACCCAGCCCCTCCCCACCCTCCCCTCCCCACCCAGTCCCACCCTCCCCACCTAGCCCCTCCCTGCACGACGGACGGACGGACACAATAATCCCCTGTGGGCTGGTGTAACCAGGAGGTTCCTACTAGTATAAGCCTGGTTCGTAGAGCAGTGCGCTAATAACAACAGGATGTTACTGCATAAGTCATTACATTACCCTCCATTCATGCAATTGCTATTGGTCACGAATGCATAGATATTGCAATACCTCATGTGCATCCTTGGGGAAAATCTGATTTATTATTTGGATATACAGTATCATTAATCTGCCCCGTTGTTGCCAAATGTGCCTCAAATACGCTTGCAGCGCTGTTTTTATATTGAATGAGCGCAAGAGATTACGACGGAAAATGTGCTATGTTGCAAAGGGGAATTGCCACATTGTATTTAACCTTCACAATGTAGCTTCGAGTGTATTAAAATTCTAAGGCAACGCTTACTGATGTAGATGCAGAGCAATAACTACAAATTCACATCCAGGTAGGTGGTCAAGCCAGATAACCTCGTTAGGAGCAGCAGCGGAGTTCATTGCTGTGATGTCTCCTTCATATTTGTGAATTGGGCATTGCGTTGTTATACATTGTATGACTCTGTTCTGGGTGGCCACAGTCACACATTGGATAGTTTTAAAGTTTCCATTTGGGCATCAGGTATCCGCATCTGACTTGGTTTGTGCGGATGCGGTTTTGGGTAGACCATGATCTCATGCGTGCTGTATTGACCCGATGATAACCACTTCTAGCTGGCAGCAACATCCAATCTCGCACTCTTCAACGCAAGAGACCCACCACGAATCTCTCCAAAAGGGCTCTTATTGTTGCAGGCAACGTCACTGACACAAACGTGAACAAAAAAAACCAATGGCTTATTCATAATAAAGGTGTTTGGGTTAGATCGTGTATGTATAAATGTGTCGTGTAACCCTCCACCACCCGACAGAGCCAGTAATGTTTGCCACGTAACACAAAGCGCCAATTAGTTACTACTTCAGCCCACCGGTTGTATGTTGGAGACTAAATCCACAACATTTTTCAAATTGAGTACAACGTTTCGCTGGTAATTATACCAACCAGCATAAGCGGGCGATTTACCAGGTTAGTGAAGTATTATTTGGTTCTTTCGGTAAAGTCACGTAGGTGAAAATAATAATAATACAAATTCTAGATTTGAAGCTTTCGTGACTGCAAAGATTCATATTCTTAGGTTTTTTCGGTTAAGTCACGTAAGTAAAACATCAAAATAAAAATAAAATTAAAATTAAAATCACGACGTTTCGGAGGCAACACAAGTCTCCGTCATCAGGTGGGACCGTCACAGCCGAATTAGCTGCATCAAGTGAAGCAATGATTCAAGATGTAATCCCTTATAAGCAAGTTGAAGGGAGGTGGAGAGGGGGGGTTGGAGAGCTTATCAGACTGTGGTAGCCAATGAATGGAAACGTATCGGGAGGGAGGAGGAGCGGTGATCAAAGACTGCACGCAGTGCTCAACACAATGAATGGAAACGTATCGGGAGGGAGGAGGAGCGGCGATCAAAGACTGCACGCAGTGCTCAACACAATGAATGGAAACGTGTCGGGAAGGAGGGTGAGCGGCGATCAAAGACTGCACGCAGCGCTCAACACAATGAATGGAGACGTGTCGGGACGGAGGGTGAGCGGTGATCAAAGACATCACGCAGTGCTCAACACAATGAATGGAAACGTGTCGGGACGGAGGGTGAGCGGTGATCAAAGACTGCACGTGGGGATGTTAACACTCGGTGAAGTAAATTAAAATAGTGCCTGTCAGATAAGATGGTCCAAAAAAAGTGTAATTAAGTCTTTTTTGCGTGGTTAATAACATCTTTCCAATGATTACTGAGTTTGTACCCATCATGGAAAAGTTTGAATCAGACGCCATCCAGACATCCACCCTGCGTCCTTCCTTTTGGAAGAGGTATGTTGATGACACTTTCGTCATCTGGCCACATGGCCTCCCAGCACTGAACCACTTCTTAGACCACATCAATTCTAGACACCCATCCATCAGACTCACTATGGAAGTAGAGAAAGACGGCAAACTACCATTTTTGGATATTCTGTTTGAGAGGAGACCTGACGGATCCTTGGGACATTCTGTCTACAGGAAAGCCACCCACACAGATTCCTACTTGAAACCGGATTCCCACCACCACCCATCTCAAAAGAATTCTCTCATCAAAACGCTATACCACAGAGCCCATGGCATTTCTGACCAACACCACCTGACCGGTGAATTGAGACATGTACATCGGGCCCTCAGGATGAACGGATACTCTGACCGTACTATCCGCCAAGCGGTTTCTCCCACCACACAGAAGAAACAGCCACATGAAACCCCGACCAAAACTATCACGTTACCATACATAGCAGGCGTGACCAAAAAGATCTCCAAAATTCTAAACAAACATAAGATCCAAGTCCGATTCAGTACAGTGCATAAAATCCGTGATCTGATTCCATCTGTGAAGGATGTCGTTCCTGACTTACAGTATCCTGGAGTCTACAAATTGAGTTGCATTTGTGGTGATTGCTACATTGGAGAAACAAAACGTCATGTGGCTGATCGTGTCCGCGAGCACAAGTCAGATCTGAAACACGGCAGAACTGATTCTTCGGCCGTTGCCGATCATTGCTACAACTCGGCGGGCTCTCATGAAATTGTCTTTTCCGAGACCAAGGTTCTCTGCAAACCTCCTGGCTACCATCAAAGGTTTGTACACGAAGCCATACAAATATACAAACACAGACATAATTTCAACCGTGATGATGGGTACAAACTCAGTAATCATTGGAAAGATGTTATTAACCACGCAAAAAAGACTTAATTACACTTTTTTTGGACCATCTTATCTGACAGGCACTATTTTAATTTACTTCACCGAGTGTTAACATCCCCACGTGCAGTCTTTGATCACCGCTCACCCTCCGTCCCGACACGTTTCCATTCATTGTGTTGAGCACTGCGTGATGTCTTTGATCACCGCTCACCCTCCGTCCCGACACGTCTCCATTCATTGTGTTGAGCGCTGCGTGCAGTCTTTGATCGCCGCTCACCCTCCGTCCCGACACGTTTCCATTCATTGTGTTGAGCACTGCGTGCAGTCTTTGATCGCCGCTCCTCCTCCCTCCCGATACGTTTCCATTCATTGTGTTGAGCACTGCGTGCAGTCTTTGATCACCGCTCCTCCTCCCTCCCGATACGTTTCCATTCATTGGCTACCACAGTCTGATAAGCTCTCCAACCCCCCCCCTCTCCACCTCCCTTCAACTTGCTTATAAGGGATTACATCTTGAATCATTGCTTCACTTGATGCAGCTAATTCGGCTGTGACGGTCCCACCTGATGACGGAGACTTGTGTTGCCTCCGAAACGTCGTGATTTTTATTTTTATTTTATTTTTATTTTGATGTTTTACTTACGTGACTTAACCGAAAAAACCTAAGAATAATACAAATGATAATAACTAAATTAAATCACGACGTTTCGGGCGCAACACAAGCGTCCGTCATCAGGTGGGGACAACCACAGCAAGAAACAATCGCTGGAGTATGCCGAAGGGATGGCTGTAACGAGGATAGTGAAGCAATCCACCTGTGGATTTACTCTCCAACACACCGGTGGGATGAAGTAGTAACTAATTGGCGCGTTGTGTTTACGAGACAACCTTTACCATACCTGTCACCACCACCCCCCCCCCCCCCCCCCCATATCAGTGGCATTGGTCACCCCGTGCCCTTATAAATGTCAGCGTTCACCCACTCACAAAGTCCCATCACAAGGGAGAAACACAAAGAGACAAACATTGTGTTACTAAACAAAACCTGTTTTATGTATTAATTTAAACAATTGGTGTTACTTATCATGAAATACCGTCTGTGATCTTGCATGCTGATGCTGCTTGCTTGATATGTGGATGCACACATGTTGATTTTTTTTATTGGACCTGAAAACTACATTTCCCTGTACAAGAATACAAGTAAACAGTATGGGTTAACAGGTATCCCTTGCTGGATGTCTCAGATGGTGGAGGGTTACGACACATTTATACTTAACGCTATCAAACCCCCCCGTAAAAACCCTTTAGTGTTTCGATTTAAAGCTTTCGTGACTGCAGGGATTCATCTTCTTGGTTCTTTCGGTAAAGTCACGTAGAAGGGAAATAATAAAATAATAAAATAATAAAAATAAAACATTATAAAATAATTCTCACGACGTTTCGGCCATAACGCAAGCAGCCGTTCTCAGGTGAGTATTTTTGAACACATGTTGGTCGCCAAAGCCCTGGCTAATTCGCCTTAAATCCCATTGGCTAGTTTACATCTGGAGGCGTGGTCTAGGGGCGTTGACTGTGGGCGTGGCTTAGGGGCTTCCGAGCGATCTGATTGGACGGGGGGCGAGCACGGGGGCGTGGCTATTGCTCAAGAGGAGGCGTGGCCATAGCGTTCGCGGTTCGCGGAAAGGCGGTGACGTCGTCGAGGCCGCGAGTCTTTTTCTTAATTAGTTTGGCTTAATTAATGAATTGCTCGCACAATCTTTCGGTTTATATTCGTGTAAGAGGACGGGTTTTTTTTCTTTGTCCTGGTTAAATCGCCTTCCTCGGGGCTGCCGCCGCGAGACGCTTCTTGTGGGACGCGCACTCTTTAACAACCCACCGCTCACTCATTAACTCGCGGTCGTGCGCGTGGCGGACGGACGCACAGCGGCTCGCCGGCTGTTTTTAATTTGATGGTATTTTATCATCGTTTTAATTTACACACGTGTTGTTGTTATTGTTTTAACTCGACAAGTGATACGCGTTGCTTTGCTCTTGGTGCGCAAGTCAAAGGTGAACGCACACCGATGCATTTGATACACGCGCCGAGCCAAAATGGTATTCCTCTACGATGCTATTCGCACGTAGATGCAATGTCGTTGTTATATCTCGCCACAAGATAATAATTTATGATTTTATAACGTCTCCTCGCCGGGTTACTGATGTTTATGTAATAATAATTGGTGACACAGTCTTACAATTGGTATTTCCGTTGTTTAACACACCATACACGTGGGCTACGCTTTGGGTAGCAAGAGGACTGTACGGGAACCCCCTGTGTTAATGTACTTGTACAATTCCACGTGGACAGTATAATCCATACCTCTCAACCCATACAGGTTAACCACGTATTCTTGTACAGGTAAATTGAGTTTTCAGGTCTATACGGCGTACAGCCGTTTCAATACGGGCAACAATAAAAAAAACTGTTGGTCAATTTGTGTTTTTCCCCTTGTAATGGGACTTTGTAGGCACGGGATGACCACTAAGGTCTGAATTGGTCTGTAATAGTATAGGGGATTGGTATGGGGTTGACAGGTATGGTATACGCTCCTCCACCTTCACCAACTCTCGCTGACCAGCGTGGTGAAGTATGGTTAGTTAGCACTCACGGCCCCGCACATCGTGGGAAGGCCCGTCGATGGGACGGTGAATTAACACCAGGGGCTGTACGTGGACATTATGTTAATCCCTTTGACAATCCATTGTTAGTGGTGCATTCACATCAGTTCGTCATGTTGCCAATTTGAATTGCTTTTGCGGAGGAGAAATTGCACAACTGTGTTTGGGACGTGTTGAATTTGAAGCTCGAATAGTGTCGGGGTGACCACTTATTAGCAGAAGCAGTAATAACACTAATACATATATTGAAATAACAATACAGTTTGTGTACATTGTATGTGGTATGCTTGAGGTTATGACAGCGTTTTGTAATTGGTTGTCACTAACTGCGTAAAAGATTCTCATAGCAATTTAAATTGTCTATAGATGTTAAACACTTGTACATTGCTTCAACTCCCTGTCGTGAATTTCAAATTGTCCCCCCCCCCCCACTTTGCTTTCAGAAAATCCCTGAAGATTGCGTACAGAAAGCAACGGAAAATGGCAATATTTTCATATGCGGATGTTGGGACCGGTATTTTTAGCCACTTGTGGGTTTGAAATAAGTTGGTAAAGAGGATTTTTAGTTTTGAACGTCATGGCCGTGTCATTTTCTACTGCTGCTCTGTACGGATCCCTGGCCCTTTTCCAGGCCATCCTGCAAAATGTGTTCCTCTTGTACTACGTGGAAATGTTTGTGTCCGTCTACAAGATTGACAAGCTTTCTTTCTGGGTTGGCGAGGTGAGAATTTGAAATGGAAAGAGACGTTGATGAACTGAAGTTATTGATAGTTTGAACGGTAACATTTTAAAACGGTACAGTGAGAACCAAAAGGAATGTGTGCTCTTTATATTTGCTCATCTCGCAATGGGAGAATTACAATCCATGATTACTTTTACAGTTTGAATAGCTTGCCAAGTCAAAGTACTTGATGCATTTTTTTATGTTGCCACAGCACACAACAACGCATTACTTTTTCACGAAGCAATTGTGTTTTACATTGTACGTGTTGTACTCCTCAGACGATATTCCTGGTGTGGAACAGCATAAATGATCCTCTGTTTGGCTGGATTAGTGACAGAAAACTCCTCACTTCCCAAGAGTAAGTTTTGAGGAAATTAATAATTTTCAACACATTGTTGAATCAGGAACTGACATCTATATATATAAAATCGTTCATGTCTGTCTGTCTGTGTGTGTGTGTGTGGACTTTGGCCCATACGCACTTTCATTGGACGGCGGTTGCCCCTGGCAACGGCTAGCCACGCCTTCGCCGCTTTCATTGGACCTGGCAACGGCTAGCCACGCCTTCGCCAAGGGCTGCAGTTTCATTGGACGGCGGTTGCCCCTGCCAACGGCTAGCCACGCCTTCGCCACTTTCATAAGCTCCGTATTTAATTAAATAATAGCCATTACACAGTATTGTTGGAGCGCTAGGGGGGGGGGAAGGAACGCCACCCGTACCCTGCCTCTTCCAAGCCGACAATTTTAGGCGACGCCGCAGGCTTTGCACGCTACTAGGCCTCGACACCCACCACGCCACTCTGAGGTAAATTCATCAAAGTTTTTTCTACTCTTCACTACACCCCCACCACAATGTGTGCTATTAATATTACTTTTAAACCCAACGCGCCAACAATCGATTACTTTAATGTTCACTGTACAAATACTCATTAAGCTGGGTGAGCGTACTGCCAGTCTATCATGTACACTGTAGCCTGCTTATTAAGCTCGGTGAGCGTACTGCCACTCTATCATGTACACTCTAGCCTGCTTATGAAGCTGAGTGCGTGTACTGGCAGTCTATAATGTGGACTCTTGCCTGGTTATTATAATCGATTCTTTATATGTTCTTTGTACAAACAGTCATTAAGCTGCTTGAGCGACCCCAGTTCGATTCCAACTCACGCCCACCACCGCTGACGATTATTTGAAACGGACCTGGCCCTCCCCTAGGTCCACTCAGCCTCAAAAGCGTAACTGCTGTCGTGTGTGAACATCGTCACTGGGGAGACAAAGGCGGCGGGGCATCGTGGATCCAAGTCCCGGGCGAAGCCGGGTCATGTGTATGTGTGTTTGTGTTTATGTGTATGTCTGTGTGTCTCTATGTATGTGTGTATGTATGTGTATGTATGTGTTTGTGTGTATGTGTGTGTGTATGTATGTGGGTTTTTTTATGTCTTTATGTGTATGTCTGCGTGTCTCTATGTATGTGTGTATGTACGTGTGTGTGTCTATGTATGTGTGTGTCTATGTATGTGTGTGTATGTGTGTGTGTGTGTATGTGTGTGTATGTATGTGTGTTATGTGTCTGTCTGTGTCTGCATGTATGTGTGTGTGTATTGTGTATGTGTTTGTGTGCATGTATGTGTGTGTGTATGTGTATGTCTGTGTGTATGTGTTTGTGTGTATGTGTGTGTATGTATGTGTGTGTATGTGTTTGTATGTGTTTGTGTGTTTACGCTCGCATTACACAAATGTGTTGCTGGTCTAAGGCGTTCCTCGCACAGCATTGCCGCTTTATTATTTCAGTCGTTTACTGCCTTACGCACCCTCAAAGTCGTGTGTGTCTGCAGCAAGCGCGTGTATGTGTACCTATGGACGCGCGCGCGTGTGTTGTGTAGGGGGAACGGTAGTGTAGTGCTTAGCGTGCTGTCTGTGTCTGTGTGTGTGTGTGTGTCTGTCTGTGTTTGTCTGTGTGTGTGTCTGTGTGTGTGCGTGTGTGGTGTGTGGGGAGCGGTAGTGTAGTGGTTAGCGTGCTGTCTGTGTGTGTGTTTCTGTCTGTGTGTGTCTGCGTGTGTCTGTGTGTGTGTCTGTGTGTGTGTCTGTGCGTGTGTGGTGTGTGAGGAGCGGTGGGTGTAGTGCTTAACGCTACGCTGCGCTACCAACCCGGCAAACCCAGTTCGATTCCCGCTCACGGCCACCACCGGTGACGATTATTTGAACCTCCCCTAGGTCGACTCTGCCTCAAACGAGTAACTTAACTACTGTAGCGTATTAACATCGCCACTGGGGAGACAAAGGCGGCCGGCCGTGGTAGATACAAGTCCCGGGCGAAGCCGGGTAGTACAGCTAGTTCTATTTATACGTGAACACATTGCCTCCATTTTGAAGTAACATAAAACACACGTTCAATCTTGCAGCTACTTGCTCTACTCGTTTTAATTTTTAACACTTTACAACTAAGGTTGAAAGCGTTTTACACATTAGCTCTCCTCAAAATTATCCAATGTGAGCTAAACTTAAAATGTTTACCCTGGCTGCTACCTGTCGGCTCCACATTAATATTTAAATACTTCAAAATACAACCTCATGTTGGAAAGCATTATACATCATCAATGCATACATCTGAAATGTTCCTAACTTTCACAAAACAACTGCTTCTCTGATGTGCCGTCAGGTGGAGTAGCAGCAGCAGCAGCTCCTCTGGAGGCCTCTCATCCCCTTCGGTGGTGTTAGGACGACTGCATCTGCTCAGCCAGACGGGCCCTCTGCTCGCGTTGTCCTTTCTCACATTTTGGGTAGCATGGGCGCCGGCAGGCCTCCAGTTTGTCCTGTGCCTCTGCCTATATGATGGGTTTTTGACTGCGGTAGGCTTGCAGCACTCTGCCCTGCTGGCCGACCTGGCTGTTTCGGCCAACGACCGCGCTCGGCTCAACACCCACAGCTCGGCATTTGCCGCCTTGGGCTCAGCCTCTGTGTTTGCGTCGTACGTGGCCTGGAGCCGAGAGAACATGGTGCCATTCCGCTGGTACTGCGTCGCGCTTGCACTTGTTTCTGCCCTGGGCTTTGCCGTGTGCTCACGCCTCCTCCGCAACTCCTACGTGGCCAGTGGGAAGAGGAAGCACGAGGATGCCGAGCTGATGGACAAGTAAGAATCTCACTTAAAGAGGAAAATGACTTGAGCATAGTGTATTGGCAATAATCGTTTACAAAAAATGTTCTGCCGAAGTTTCCCTACAATGTAATCAATATTGCTTTACAGCTGTATGTAAATCTGCTGCTGGAGGATGCCCCCCCCCCCCCCCGACGTATCGCCCATAGGCCTTTGACCATTCTTCAACAAGGTGGTCAGTACCCGTTGGTGAAATTGGGTGCCTAGGACCGACTGGTTCAGATTGCACTTTCTACAGCTGCTAACCATTGCTGGGAATCACACTCGGGTGGCTGGCTTCATAGCTCGGTGCACGGACCACTCTGCCACCGTTTCCCTCATGACGTAAATTTGTATTGTGTGTTAAGACTCTATGATAAGCTGTACAATTTAAAGGCCACAATGTGGCAGTAATAACGTAAATTTGTTTTGTATTGTTTGTTTAGACTGTACATGGAGAAGCAAGAGGGCAAGGCAGATGAACCACGACTCTCTTTGCGGGATTATGTACGTCAGCTGTCACGACATCGCAATCTGCGCTGGTTTGTTCTCATGAACCTTGTTCAGGTGAATGAAAATGCTTTATCGGGCAGCACGTACGTCACAAGCATTGTCTTCCAGCAGCTGCTTGCTCCATAATTCGCTGTTTCCGTCATGTGGTATGAGCCCTGGTACAATAGTCGGTGTTATCAGGAAGCCCGCATACAGGCATGATAAAATGTTCTGGTGGTTGTGTTTTCGCCGACAGGTGTTTCACTGCCACTTCAACAGCAACTTTTTCCCCTTGTTTCTGGAGCACCTTTTGGCAGACCGCATCTCCCTCTCCACTGGCTCTCTCCTATTGGGTAATGTGAATACATTAAACAGGATGTGAAATTCTAATTTAGAAGTTTTCGTGACTGCAAGCACAACTGCTTAAATGTATCTAAGAGATGTGTCTCAGAGATGGCATCTCTTGAGACACACTTAAGCGGTTGTGCTTTCGCTACGTTGTCCCCACCTGAAGGACGCTTGTGTTGCGCCCGAAATGTCGTGATTTAATTTAGTTGTTCATTTATTTTAGTTTTTACCTACGTGACTTTACCAAAAAAAGCAAAGAGTAGGATGTGAAATGTATGCAAGTCACTACTGGTTCCCACTGATACAAGAAACACCCCCCCCACCTCCCCAGTCTCTTGCACTATTATCCTTGCACCTTCGTCCAATTGTAAACCAGAAATGTATCCAGTCGCACACCTTGTGATTCATTTGATGCAATTTTAAAGGGAGTTGTTTCTTTAGTTGCGTAGGTGTTGGGTTAATGGGGTTCAGGTGAGAGGTTAGGGATATAGTCGGGGTTTAACGGTTAAGGCAAGGTGTTAGCAGTTTAGTATTAGGTTTTAGGAGTTTGGGTTTTGAGGTTAGGATTTAGTGTTATGGTTTCAATTGAAGGTTGGGGCTTAGGATTGGGGATGGCAGTACTTGGTGCTTTTCTTTCCACTAGTCTTGACCAAAAGATATTCTACATTTGATGCTGTTGAATTGTAATTATGCCCTCTCCACTGTTGCAGGAATTTCGTACATCGCGCCACACCTGAACAATCTTTACTTCCTGTCGCTGTGCAAGAAGCACGGTGTTTACAAGGTGGTCATGGGGCTCTTCTACCTGAAGTTGGTGCTCAGCCTGGTCATGCTGATGGCTGGACCTGATCATAGTACATTGCTATGCTTCTTTATTGCTAGGTATGTTACACATAGGCATTCTTTGTAAAATCAGTTGTATTTTGCCATTAACTTAATTATAGCAAAAGCTCATGCAACATTATGAACGCGTAACCTTGTAATAGAAGCCAAATTGCCTGCAGTTAAACATTTGTGTAGGTGTGACCAATTTTATTGTGACCTTTGCATCTTTTTTCAGTGCAAGGTATGTAATTAGTGCCACATATAGAATTGAAAGTCATCTTTAGGAATTAAGCAGGCAGTGTATTGGCACACATGCCAATACTGTAAGCCTGTATCATGTAATTTGAATCTGATTTTTGGTGCTGATCCCATCTTTTTCGTAGTCATAAATGCAGTAATGTATTAGGCTACAGCTGTTTTCTTTTATCGCTAGCATATAAACACATGGTTTGAAATTGTTCACTATTTTTTTCCCCCCATCGCATCTTGTACCACTTACCGTTTACTCTGAACTTTCTCTACTCGATGGGTATTTTGCGTTGTGCTCTTTAGCAACCGTGTGTTCACGGAAGGAACATGCCGGCTCCTGTCGATGGTCATAAGTGACTTGGTGGACGAGGATTTCGTTCTCAACGAGCGCCGGCAAGCTGCTTCTGCCTTGCTGTTTGGCATGGTGGCTCTGGTGACCAAGCCTGGGCAGACGTTTGCTCCACTTATTGGCACATGGATGCTCGCTTCCTTCACAGGTAAAGTCGCCAATGCTTTTTCCAATGCATTACAACAAAAGCTCCAGCTATGAATGCATTGTTTGAGGCTGGATAACTACAGTATTTTAAAAATGATCCAGTATCAACATTTTACTTTTAAGATGTGGTTAGACACCCTATAGAAAACTGGCCAAATTGATTAAAGGGTTGTCCAAAACGTGGAGAACCAGTGTGGTTTGAAACCTATCAAAAACAATGACTAATGCATATTGGAAAGCATAGAATCCATGCATATGCATTTTTCTCTCACCTTTTGAGGGTAATGTGCACATTTGTCTTTATGCTTGAACTGGACTTTCGTTTAATGCCGATTCTAACAAAGAAACGAAAGTAGCGTGAGCAATACATTTTTAACTTTTCAAAATGGAAGTTTGTCCTGAGATGGTGCGACCCTAACCGGCACAGCAGGAAGACCAACTTCATCACATTGGCATCCATGGAATGCAAGTGCATTAGATTTAGCCTTCACAAATTGGGTCTCCTACAAATTAATGCTTGTGGGTGTCCATCCCCGTTTAATTCAAACCAAACTTAATACCTTGTGCCACGACTTGATGCCAGATGACTTTAACCTGTGAATTCTAACATTTAATTCTAACTAAATTTTATTTTAATGTGGCATGCAGGCTTTGACATCTTCCAAAGCAGCTCCTTACTGGCCGTAGTGACATCATCTGCACCTGGGCAGCCCCTGCCACCCATACAAAGCCCCACTGTATCTGGGGAGGCTTTGCGCCAGGGATGCTTCGTGTTGCTGGTGTGTGTGCCTGTGGTGTGTGGCATTGTGCAGATCCTCTTCTGGTATCAGTTTAGACTACATGGGAAGGTGCTGCACAGGGTCAAGGAACGCAGGGTCAATTCGTCATGGATGGGTGGGGTAAAGTCTGTATGAGCAAGGACCAACTTTGTTTCTGTACATTTATACAATATTTTTTAAAATTCCAAGTGGAGATTACAGTAACACTACATAGCCAGTGCCAATTAACTGATCATAGGATGCCAATTTGGGCTACTGTAGCAGCTACCTCAAAACAATGATTTTAAACTTGGGTCGAGCTTAAAACTGGAAAAATGTATATTGACAATTTTAAAGCCCATAAAAGTTGCAATGCCTAATCCAAAGTAACTTTTCAGACAAGATTTTTCTGCGGAGGACATGGGTAAAGAGGTTAACTTAATGGATATGGGTTGAATTAAACTTTTCTGCAATTTGACCTGTACTCTGCAAACATACAAAAGTGTTAATTCAGTTATAAAATCAAACTTTAAATGCAGTTTTAAATTACGTGCTTGAAACAATATATTTTATTTATGAAAATGTTTGGCAAACACCTGTGAAAATAAAACAAGATTTTACAAGCTATGCAATGCGTTTTTATTCAACTTCAAAAAAGGCATCTGAAGCTACACATGACCACTTGACTGCATTACAGGTTAAGGGAGCAGGACAAAGCCATTTTAAAGATGCTTAATGTATCCCCCCCCCCCTTTGGGAACATGCAACCCTTTACATGGTGACCCACAGCAAAGAAGCAGACTACATTGTGTAGAATAGCAATGGTCTATCAAGGATTGGTACATTATTTACAGTATACATTTTAATTCAGCAGACCAGAAAATTAGCACATTACTGTCAGTAAAAAAAAATGCTAAACTTTTTATTTTTGGAGTTATTGGCCTGGCACGGACTTGTGGAAAAGAATCCAACAATGCCAGGCATATAAATCAACAGTGTGATGGGCACTGGGGAGTCCATGAAATCACTTGGCAGTGCTCTTCCTCTTTTTCTTCTTTTCACTCACAGCTTCTTCAGGCTCAGTGAAATTGTCCTGTTTTCGCTTTTTCTTTTTGTCAGAAACGGGTGTCACCGGCTCTTCAGAGCCATTATCTTGAGAGCTGTCAGTCTCTTCCTTTGCTGCCTTGTGCTTTTTCTTAGTTTCCTTGTCCTCTATGGGAGTCTGCAATCACAATGTTCAATATACAGTTGAAGCACATAAAATTCCTTTATATCTAAAAGGGAAATTTGTGAATGTGTGTCTGTTCGAAATGTTTAGCATACTTCCAGACATGCAACAAACTTCGTCATTCCCTTCCCGAGTTGCCTATATTGACCTTATGTATAAGTGGGTTAAGGTTCTAGATTTGAAGTTTTCGTGACTGCAAGGATTCGTACTCTGGTTTTTTTCGGTAAAGTCACGTAGGTAAAACATTAAATCACGACGTTTCGGGCGCAACACAAGCGTCCTTCAGGTGGGGACAACTTAGCGAAAGCACACCGCTTAAGTGTGTCTATATAATTACTCGTCACAGCCACCTCTGAGACGCACTTAAGCGGTTGCGCTTTCGCTAAGTTGTCCCCACCTGAAGGACGCTTGTGTTGCGCCCGAAACGTGATTTAATTTTAATTTTTTACCTACGTGACTTTACCGAAAAAAACAAAGAGTATGGGTTAAGGTTGAATTTCCTTGAGTGAAAAACATCAGATTTAGTTAAATTGATTTGTTTCGACTTTTTTCTTTCTTGCAATTTTTTAGGGTTTTTCAGTTAAATATCAGGGAATATGAAATGAATCCTAGACAAGAATCCAAGTCCCGGGCAAAGCCAGGTAGTAAAGCTCGTGAAATATATTTCGTTTTTTTTGTATTGCAATTGCTTACCACTTTGGGTTCCTTTCTCTTTGGAGTGTCCCCGTTTACAGACTCCTGTAAGAAAAGTGAAGCAATAATGCAACATGAAACACCAACATTTGAAAAATCAATGAATACGAAGTGCTGATAATTATTCACAGCCAATCACACTCACCTCAGCCTTCTCTGCAGCATCAGCCGCATCCTGCTTGTCTTTCTTTTTCTTCTTCTTTTCCTTTTTCGCCATCTTCCGCTTAACCTTATCGGTTATCACCAATGCCTGCCAGAAGACAGCATTTTAAGTTCAGAGAAAATTGCATGGCTTTTATCTAAGACTGCTAACATAGGTTGCCCACAAGGCAGGGTGTGTGATTAACTGTGCTCACCTCTGCAGCAGCTTCCTTCATGACGTCAATGTTTTTCCTTGGAGCAGTGCCCGTCTCATAAAATGACAATCGCTCCTCCACCTGATCCCTCAACTTCTCACCAAACACTGTCGTTGGGATCTCTGAAGGAATAAAGAATGAATCGTTAAAAATACTGCCCAATTATTTTTTGGAGTGTTTATCGCTCAGCAGACTTTGCATGCTCAGACAAAAATGCTTTCAACATTCAGGAGGTGAAAGTCTGTTGACGAAAAATAGTACCATCATAGCAAAGTCTACATCTACAAGTGTACTGACAAAAGTATAATGCTGCCCAGCCTTACCAGAGAAGCAGTCAAGGCGGGAAGCGATGGAGCACTTGTTGGCGAGATAGCGCGAGATGCGTCCCTTGTTCTTGGCTGCTGCCCGTCCAATGAAGGTGGAGTGAAAGATGAGTCCATACTTTGGTGTGTTCCCACGAGTCTTCAGAGCTCTGTCATACAAGGTTACCACACTTAACTTACAATACCTTTCAGAAAGCAGTAATGAATCGGCCGCAAGCCATTCAATGTTGGATACGTGCAAATTCAACATAGGTGATCATATGCCGATGCGATGCAACATACTATTCAACATGGTTAAAGGACAATTACTGGCAAAACCAAATCTTAATGTAGTTTAAGAAGGTGAATTTCAAATGCTGAGGTAAGTTTGCAAACTTTACACATGGCACATAAGCTAAACCAACGTTGAATGTATAATGTGCATCTCAAAGCATACCTGAAAATGTGACTTTTATGCACTGAGAAGCAAACATTTTTCATCAGTGCATGCTGGAGGTGGGCAGCTCAGCGTTCATACCCTGGGCATTAAACCATCAGTACAATCTCCCCACACCCACCAAACCACCACCATACCCACATAGCGAGCAGGAGGGGAGGCGAGTGGGATCGATTGGCAAATCAAGAGCGACAATCCCAGGGATGTTACCATCACTGCTGCCCACCCCATACAGGTGACGTTGTGGTACCTGAACAGTGCCTTCTCAGCACCCAGGATCTGTACTGTGCTTGCAGGGTACTTTGCCAGGTTTGTCAAGCTGCCTGCTTGTGAAATCAACCGTGCACCAACCTGTATAGGATGAGAACACAACTTGAGGTTCACACTTACATTACAAAAAAGCAGTGTTAACTGTGGCATTCGTTTACATTTAAGGCAATGATTTTTGGACACTTTTTTTGCAAAATATACATAGCACAGAATTTTTATAAGTACCAAATTTCATGTTTTTCTACAGTCATTTTCCATATTTCAGACGATTCAAATTCACGATTTCCCTAATTATCATGCCAAACTCCTAGCCTTAATTACGATACATCATAACAGTAATGTGTAAGTAGTTGCATTACGGATGCCTCAGTCAAACTAATTTTCTCTTCACTGTAAATCAGAGGATTGACAGATTGTTAGATGTTGCATCACTGGCACCGGGTAAAAACAAAAATAACTGCCCAGCATAGTCCACGTGCACCAGTCGTACTTCTTACCACTTCACCAATGAGAGTACCAAGATTAGGGGCCACCATGTTCATCTTGGAACGGAGATACTCCTGCAGGCCTTTGCGGTACTCGGCGAGGGAGATGACACGTGTACAGAAGCTCTCGATGTTGATCAAATCAATGGGAGAAATGTCCATCCCTGGAAGAAATAAAAAAAAATTGAGTTACATCCTTAATTCCACGAGCGTTTTGGCTGCTATATTGTTACAGGGTGCACCAAAAGTCAATATCCATAGCAATTTCAGCACTATGCTGTGTTATAAAAACGAGTTTTCAAAAGATCAATGTAGACACATTGAGGATTGAATGCTCTAGTATGTTATGAGAAACGTACTGTGATGTTTGGTAAAGCAAATGGTGTCCAGTTCGAGCATTTCACTATTTACTGCACAGATATAGGTCTCCTGACGTTTGCCTGACCCTCTTTAAATAGCGTTAAAAACGAGATTTAAAACAAAAGGTTACAAAAAGTGCATTTGGTGACTCAGTCTGAAGAGGTTTTCATTCAAAAATATTCAGAGGATTGACAGATTTTGTTTAACATCATTGTCACCTTTAATGTGCCAACTATGAAACTCCAAACGACTGGCTGCCTGCCTGCATACAGCAGCTGAGCTGTGGAAGATGAATGACTTTACCCATAGAGGAGCGGGAGGCATCAAGAATGGCTTGAGCTTTTGCGCTGTCCATGGTTAACTCCTCCAACGCCTCCAGATTTTCCTCCGACAGGTCCTTGCGGTTGGCGATGAGCTTGGTGAGGCGGCAGTATGTGTAGTTGTCGGGCACAATCCTAATCAGCTCCGGAAAGTGGTAACCGTACCACTCGCTGTTGTGAAACGAGACATTTACAAAAATTGTTAGCATCATAAAATCCAAAAATGAAAATCTTTTATCGCCATCCATTTGTCATGTCACCACTCTGCAAATACAGGTCTGGATGAAATGGACCAGACCCATAGCATTACACAGTGGTTGTTTTTATTCCTCCCGTTTCTGTACAGCTAGAGCTGGTTGCCTTCTAGCGGTGGTAAGCGTTGAGAGGTTGCAACTTCCTTTTGTAGATCACAAAACAAAATACAAGTACGACAATTTTAAAATGTGCACATAAAACCCCTCTTACCGCACACGCATGGAAAAGGTATTGATATCTTTGTCGAGTTGGTCAAGCAGGCTGATTGACTGGATGATCATGTTGTCGGCACGGTTGACGTTGAACTTGACCTTTGCACGGGAATAACTGTGCCCAAGACCCAGCTGCGCCTTGGCAGCTGACTGGACTGTCAGTCCCTTGACAAGGGCGTGGAAATGCAGGCGAATTCCTGTAAAATATAAAGCATTCATCAGTCTTCTTTCAAAAGCATTCAAATCATTGGTGAGAGATTTGTTTCCATCACCAATATCCCAATTAAGCACCTGGATCTGCCCACCCTGCTGAAGAACGTTTAAGCTACCTCAGAACTCGCCACTACCCCTTCGCAAGTGGCAATTCAAAGAAAGCCCTGTGATTACAGAAACACAGACCAGACCATTAATCTCACAGTAGTGAACTAAAATTAAATGACGGCATCGAAGCAATCAACCACACAACTGAAGCCATTTTTCAGTTAGCCAATCTGGAGACTCGTTAGAGTTGCTATTAATCCAGATACATGCAAGAGTTAACATTCCTGGCCCCCTCCCTCTCTCCGTCCCCGCCCCCCCTCTCTATATTTAAGGGACCGTCACAGAAACGACCTCTCTCTTTGTGCCGATATGTGTCCTCTCTCTGTGTGTCCTTGTGATGTCTGTCTGCTTGTATGTCTGTCTATAGTTTTCAAGTTAGATTTGTGTTGCTATTTCTTTTATGCCTGATGATTGCTTGTGTTGCAATCGAAACGTCGTAATATGCTATTATTTAATCTTTAGACGTGACTTAACCGAAAGAACCAAAGAATAATTCCTGCAGTCACGAAAGCTCCAAAATTAAGATTGAGTTATTAACATCTGTCCCCAAATAGTCACGTGACAAGCACTCACAATGGGCAAAGTGAGTTTTGTATTTTCAACTCACCACGGACGATCTCGTTGATCACACCCCCAGTTTGCCCTTGAATTCCCAGCTCTTCCTGGATGGCTGCCCCAATCTTGGCATCGGCCACTCCCAGGATCACTTTATTTTTTTTGCTTGGTGCTGGCATGTTAGTCTCCAAGAGCAGCCTCAGGTCCTCATGCAATATCCCTTAAACAGGACACAAGAACAATCCAAATATTTAAACTTGTTTTCATAGTATTCAAAGCCTGTTATTTTTAATCATATCACAACAGTGCTCAGAAACTCGAGGATGTAACATCATCAAAGTCAGTGGATTGACAGATTATAATAGGCATCATTGCACTGAAACGTCATTCAGAACTACATTTCAAACAGTCAACCGTGCATACCTTCAGAAATGGCATTGATGTTTTCAAGGGCAGCCTGAGCCGACTTGAAGGGATAAAATGCAGTCAACTTGACCATGGTGTTGAACTTTGATCTGTCCAAAATGCTCGCCTCCACCTGCAGTTCAAAATTAATAAATTAGTGCTGTATGAAATGTTATCAAAGGAATTTCACTACACTCAAGATAACTGTTGCCTTAAAATAAATGTATTAACAAGTAAAAAACACATGTATTTAAAAAAAAAAAGCATTATGGTCATGACTCACAGCGACAAAACACTACCCAATTCAATGTGTCCATGACTGTCCGACAATTATAATACAAACCAAGGTAATGGTCAAACACTTTGGTACCAGTGGCATTAACTCCAATAAGCCCAGTTGTCTTAAGATTCCGACTCAACCTCTGCATTCCAGCACGACAGTACACGGTTCACAAGTCCCAATATATGCATTACAATTTGTTACGCATCTGCACATTTTATCATTGTCACAGAATAGCGGAATGCTACGCCATTTTCGGCCACTCATTTTATGCACTCCACAGTTGAGGCAGCGAAAAGTGGCGTAACCAGATTAATTCATTAAGTCATACTGCAACGTGTATCGAGTTATTCTGTAGATAAATTCATCTCGAGAGTGGGTGGGAATGGGATGACCTCACCTGTGGCAGCAACATCCCGATTTCCTCTGCCTCCTTGACGGAGAAGAGGGCGTACCCAGCCGCATGCTCGAAAAGCACGTAGAGTAACACCTGGGCAGACGAGACCACATACACAGCTTCAGAGCACTATCGATATACATTGGTTTTGTAAAGAAGCAACTCTTTAGTCAATCCACTGCTGGATGAGAGCTGATTGATTATGCAGTGTGGGTGGTGGGGATTTAACCATATTTCACGGTGGTTATAGCAGGTAGAATTTTCTGCTCTGCTTTCAATTGTTTTTGCAGTCATCTACTACTTTCTTTACAAATAGCTGTCCGATACCTATTCTGTGCAATGCGGTCGCTTATCCAAGGACCAACCAGGCTCTATGCTGCTTAGCTTCGGAGATACAAGTTCAATGCATGATCGATTAAACGTTGATGGAATTACACAAAGTAATCTAAATGGATACTATGAATTTGGTTATTTTATATCTCCCATTATGTATAATATACTGAAATCGCCAAAATGAAGCTTTAGTAAAATTTTCTATCAGGCTGTGGCCCACGCTGTAATTATGTTACCGTATAACCAATACTCAAGACTGTCCCGACAAAATACGAAAGATAACGAGACTAAATATTATTTTGGTTAAAAGACATGGTTCCAAGCAAACCCCAGTCTCAAGAACCTTAATATATTGTGTCCTGCAATTATTTTGTTATATCTAATTCATGTATATGCTTAAGAGATTTGTTGTGTTCCCTCAATTTCAAGCTCTGCCTTTGCACGTGCCTTTACGGGCATTTGTTCAAGCCCACGAATGGTGTTACACGTGGGAAGAAACCCGAGAACCAAAGAAAACCCACAACATATTAATCCCAATAAATCATAACGGATGTTTTCACCGATATATTTCTAACATATATACAATACAATCAGTTTTTTCCGCAAATGTTTCAGATCTACACGACTGCAATTCACACACGCGCTGAACGACACGCATATGGCCACGTGTGCTGCATGAACCACGTGTGCTGCATGAACCACGTGTTGCTCAGTGATATTTATAATTTTATATTCTGAACTCGGCAGGGTCACTACACAGCATTGCAATTATAAACATTACCCAACTCAAACATATGCATACCATTCACAATGACTTAACGCAACTGTTAAATTAGTAATTAACTACAAGTAAAATTATATTCCACGTGCGTGCTTTGGCGCCTTAGCGCGCACACGCACGCAGACGAATAACGATCTAACTAAACACATAACAAATTAATAAACGTGTAAATTATCCCTCAAGCAGCTTAAAGTCTTAATTAGCAAGAGAGTTCAGCAGCAGTATTAATTGCTGCACGTGTCGCGACTCGGCGCGCAAGGCCCAAACTAGGCCGCAGGCCTCTCCGCCTCGTGGGCCAAGCATGGAGACGCGACTCCCAAACTCTCGACCCCAAGAAAAATTAAACTCTCGGTTATTTTTCTTTGGGGGCGTGGGGGGAGATCATCGCGTTTCTAGGCTTTCGCTCGCTACCCTGCAGGCCGAGTGGCCGTAAATGTACTCGCAAGCGAAGCCTCCCGTTAGGAGGGCGAGCGCAGCGCGCTACTCACCATGGCGGCGCGAGTGGAAAGGAGACGCGGAGCTCACGACGCGCGCCCTCTCGTTGACTCCTCCCCTCATTTGCATATGACGTCATTTCCGGTTGAATTAATTTGTAATTTAATTATTCTGCTTCCTCCACCCCCCAAAAAAATATCTTCCTGGCTCCACCCACACCCCAAACCCCCCCCCCCCATCCTGTACCCGTCCCCCTTGGCTCCTCCCCCCTCCTCTTTACCCGATATATTAATGCCCCATCACAAATAACTCCAACTACAATTATTTTGCTGTGCCTTTTTTATTATTTATTTTTACCTACGTGACTTTACCGAAAAAACCTAAGAGTATGTAAAAAAATAATCTATCTTCTTGGTTCTTTCGGTAAAGTCACGTAGAAGGGAAGTAATACAATAATAAAAATAAAACACAATTAAATAATTCTCACGACGTTTCGGCTACAACGCAAGCAGCCGTCTTCAGGTGAAGACGTCTTCAGGTGAAGACGGCTGCTTGCGTTGTAGCCGAAACGTCGTGAGAATTATTTTATTGTGTTTTATTTTTATTATTTTATTACTTCCCTTCTACGTGACTTTACCGAAAGAACCAAGAAGATGAATCCCTGCAGTCATGAAAGCTTTAAATCGAAAAATAATCTATGTTGAGACCATCATGGGATCTCCCTTGCCAGTAGCAAAATATAAGGTTTTACCCTCTGACAATAAAACAGGTGTTAAAAAAACTAACTGAAACCTTTTCCAAGGAATCAAGTCTGCATTAAGCACATATACTTGTGACTTTACCGAAAAAATCAAAGAGTATGGAACCTTGCAGTCACGAAAACTTCAAATCTAGAATATACAGTATTACCAGAGCATGTGTTTTGTTTGCATGTTCACCAGAAATACATGCAAGATGTTTGCATCTTCACCACAAGTGTTTGTGGTTAATGCAGACATGATTCCTTGCAAAATGGTTTCAGTTTGGTTAACATCTTATCAACTGTTTTATTGCCAGAAAGGATAAAATATATTCTTAAACGTTGAGACCGTGTGTGTGTGTGGCTTTGAAAGGGTTACAAATGTGTGTAACAGCATACCTGTAAAACCCGTACGGTTTACCCGTATTCTTGTACTGAGAAATTGAGTTTTCAGGTACATACGGCGTACAGCCGTTTCAATAAGGGCAAAGGAAAAATTGTCTATTTGTGTCTCTCCCTTGTGATGGGACTTTGTAGGACGAACGTTCAGATTTATAAGTGCACGGGGTGACCAATGAAGTCTGAATTGGTCTGAAATAAGGTAGGCACTGATGAGGGGTATGTAACAGGCGACGTTTCGGAAAATGGCCCTTCGTTTGTTTTGCAATTGCAAAAAAAGTCCCATCGCCCCACAACAGAAATTGGTACCACCTAAAGTAAAAATACTTTACTACAGTAGTACAGATTTATCTGCTTCATGACAGTTAATTCTTTGATATCCCACTAATTTCAAATGGTTATCCCATAATTCAGTATTGTTGGTCACGCAAATTGTAACCACTAAAATTATGCCACATCAGGCACCGACAAGTGAAATATATGGTCTAGTCTCATGGACTAAAAACACACTTAACAAAAAAATCAATACGTTCATCAATAACACTATGGCCTTCAAAGGTAAAGTACAATACGCGACGTATGGAGCAATGTATGTGATTTAATTTATTTTATACCTTCGTGACTTTACCGAAAGAACCAAAGAGTATACACATTCCTGCGGAGGGAGCTGGTAGGAACGTTGGGTTGCTCGGTCAATGGCCAGGGTCAACGGCGGCGTGGTGTATTCCGCAAATATGGCCGACTGTGAGGGCGGGCAAAAGCCGGCGTGATTATGTTAAACGTTGAGTTTTATAAGGGCACCACGGGGTGAGCAGCCCCTCCCCCCCAGCCCCACCCCTCCCACCCAGCCCCTCCCCCACCCTCCCCTCCCCACCCAGCCCCACCCTCCCCTCCCAGCCCCTCCCTGCACGACGGACACAATAATCCCCTGTGGGCTGGTGTAACCAGGAGGTTCCTACCAGTAATATGTCCCGTATGTTAAACTTCTTTCGCACTGTACGAAGCCAGCCGTAGGTGCCCCGCCACCCCTCGGGCCTTTGCGCCGGGCTGGCTCACAAATGACATCACATGTATCCCTCTATTTAAGAACGAAACATGATTTATCCCCAAATCTGGCTGTCGCCTGATGATGCTTGTTGTAATTACTGCCGAAACGTCGTACTCGAATCCTACATGTTGTGGGTTTACTCTCCAACACACCGGTGTGCTGTACTAGTGACGATTTGGCATGTTTTGTTTACGTGACAAACCTTACTAATTGGCTGTGTCGGGTGGTAGTGGGTTTAACGACACATTAATATTCACGCGATCTAACCCAAGAAAAATATCTTATGGATAACACAGAGAGCCTACGTGTCAAACTATATATCCCTCTAGATTTGAAGCTTTCGTGACTGCAAGGATTCATACTCTTAGGTTTTTTTTCGGTAAAGTCACGTAGGAAAAAAAGAAAATAATAAATGGAAAAAAATGAATTGATTTAATAGATTTATCAGCATTTATTATTTATTTATAAAAAAAATTCCCTACGTGACTTTACCGAAAAAAAAACCTAAGAGTATATATTCCTCGTTAGAGGAACGTGGCATTTGTTACATGAGCCCAGGGTCTATACCAAGGCCGTAATGACATATACTGGGGGGGGGGGGGGGGGACGACGACACACATCCCCCCCCAATATTCAAATATGCTCAAAATGCCCCCCCCCCCAATATAGTGTTATAAAATAGATTTCTGTTTATATGATTGCGGTTAAGGTTGTCCTTTATTAATCCCGAATCTCTGCCATTACATACAATGAAACAGGAAAAGGTAAACAAAGAAAAAACAGAGTAATGTAATACAATACACTATTAGACATTATTGTAAAAAAACGTCCATCCTACGTGTTAGTGATTTTTTAAAATATTTTAGGCAGGAAATTCGTTTTCAAATTCAGATTTTTTTTCTGGGGGGGGCCCCAAACCCCCAAACCCCCTGGAAGATTTGGTCCCCCCCAATGTTGACTCCATGGCTACGGCCTTGGTCTATACACGAATTGCGTACGTGTGCGTTGAACCTCTTTAGCGCCCTACGCAGCCGACCGTACCCTCATCAAGAGGTGCGGGGAACAGCCACGTGCGCGGCGCCAACTCGACGGCCATGTTACGTGGGGGGGGGGGGGGGGGAAACGCACGTGGTCTCGGCAGGGTCCTTCAAGAGACCTCCCCCCACACGTCACACGCCGATGACGTCACCACTACCGTTCCCTCCACTGATAAGCAGCGCGAGGACCCCTCGTGACGTAGGCGAGAGGCCATTGATAGGTGGCCGTGGCGCAAAGGGGGTGGCCACCGCACTCGGGCGAGTGCCGGACTTCGGGTCCGACATGGCGGAACGCGGCGGCGGAGGCGGCGAAGACGATGATGTTGTTGTTGGTGGTGGCGGTGACGACGACGACGACGGCGTTAAAGTTATCGACGTGGACCTGATCTCGCCAAACTTCGACCCTCAAGCCGCGCTCTACTCCCGCGACGTGACGCTGCCCTACCCCAACGTGCGTTGCTTCCACAACATCGCCGAGTTCGCCTCCTTCACGATGGGCCGTGGCCGCGGTCGGGGGCGCGGGGACACGCCGGGGCAGTCGGGGGGGCAGTCGGCCGTGGCGGTGGTGGCCACGGGCAAGGGCAAGGGCAGGGCCGGGCGGCGAAGTCGTCCCGCCCCGGACCCCGAGCGTGTGGAGAGGCTGAAGAAGCTGATGGTGAACGATGGGAGGAGGAAAAAGAAGAAGGATGACGAAGACGATGATGATGAGGAGGAGGAGGATGCGGAGAAGGGTCCCGGACGGGGCAAGAAACTCAGAAATGTGCTCACCTGGATGTCGAGTACGTGGGTTTCGTGGTGGTAGTCGTGGCGTGGCTACCGAGTGTGCAGGCGGTGCAGCTGCACCGTGCTCACGGGGAGGAAGGGGGAGACTCATGCACCGTGTGTCTCCGATGGAAGGAGGGGCAATTCAGTCGGGGGGTGACCCCAGGTCACGTCCGAATCGCGCTACGATTTGGGTGGCACACGGGCATGGTTATCGCTCTGGGAAAATTGTAGAATGGTGGTGGTTGTTGTAAGGATGAACTCCCCTCTTGTCATGGGAATGTGGAATTTGGCGCAGAAAGATACTCTCATGGGTGACCAGTGTGTCTAGCTCATGCATGATATGCTCGGCGTCACCACCATAATCTGGTTATTTAATCATATTTCACCACGCTGATCAATTGTGGCATTGTCGAAGGCGTGGTGCTTTGACCTGGGGGGGGGCATAGAATTACGGTGTAACAATCGTTTCGGGCACTGCCCTTTAAACACGCACCCAGGAGCTACCCACTTCGAATCTTGGCTCGACAAAGGTTAAAGCAGACGACGACGGCAACGTTGATGATCTTAAAGGTGCATTGAAAAATTATAATACTCCGATTGATGCTCCTGCTGTTGTGGAGTGACTCATGCAGCCAGCTATGGCTGCAGGGTTTTGGTAGTACATGTTGTTTATGCCATTTATTGTGAAAATTCTGTCATAGTTCCTATGGTTGCTTTTTCATTGCTTTCATGGCTTTATTTTGGTGTATTGGTTTAGCCATGTTTGTTGTAGTACAGAGACTGATGGTCTTAATCTAAGTTGTCTTGTGGTTGTTTTTGCACACAGCGTTGGTGTACGGTGTTTTTTCTGCAATATTAAGCTGTCTTGGATTTTCTGTTTGCACTTAGTCACGTATTCACTTTAAGATGTTTTTTGTTCATGTTTTTTGTTGCGGTTGCACCCGATTCAAGAGTCGAATGGCTCACAGGGCTATACCTACTAAATGAACTTGAACTTTTGACCACCCTTCCTCTCCCTGGCAGAGCTGGAGCACGGTCCCCTCGGCGGCCTCTACCGCTGCGTGAAGAACCGACTGCCCATCTCCGTGCACGTCCGCACCTTCCGGGGCCTCCGCGGCGTTTGCAAGGGCTACCTGCTGGCCTTTGACAAGTTCTGGAACATGGTGCGTGCTTGCACGCTTCTTCGCTTGACACCGGTCAGATCGATTCCACTTTAATTCGTACACCACGCTGTGCGTGGATTAGTGAAGGTGGGTAGCGTGGACTTAGCAGCGTGGAAGTGCGGTGAAACGATTGATTTTGGCTGCAGTGTGCTCAAATCGATTGATGCATGGTGGGCATATATCTAACCACTATCCAGGATCAAATCTGCTTTGCTGTCGAGATCTGACGATCAGGCGCATTGTGTTGTTGATTTGCTCAAAAGCATGATGTGACTTGCACATGTAACAATCACACCCCTGGCTCTAACCTGCCCTAGCCCCACAGGGAGTTGATAGGGTTTATCAATTAGCTTTAGCCAACAATGTAACGTGGAGAGGTAGCACATGGGTGCAATTAAAAGTAACATTTTATTAACTATTCAACGGGAGTACGACATTCCAAACAGGCACAACTTCTTAAGGTATTTAGTACACATAGATAATTGTGTTTACCAGATTTTTTTGTTAAAATGCTTTCAACACACGTATGAATGAACACCTGATGACGGTTGCTCGTGTTGCGATCGAAACGTCGTGATCTATTATTTTTTATTATACCTACGTGACTTTACCGAAAGAACCAAAGAGTATGGATTCCTGCAGTCACGAAAGCTTCAAATCAAGAATTAAATTAAAGTTTTGTCACTCAAATGCAATGCTTTTCTAAACTCCAGTGTAAGGAAATAATTACTACATTCAATAATGATGGGAATAAGATTAACTTTTTTTTACGTGTGTTTATGTAAATTATTTTAAATAGGCTCCGGAGTGAAATGGCCTATTCTTATATAACATTCGTACATGTACATTTCTCTTCCTAAAAGGCACTAGCCGACGTGGACGAGGTTTACCGAAAGCCATTGCTGGGCCAAGCTTTCTACAGTGAGCCGAGACTCACCGTGAACGAGGTGCGTGCACTCACTTGCACAACAGACGCACAGGGCACATGTCTCGCTGTGCACCTCTTTAATTGCGTTATTTTGCTTGCAGCTGTTCAAGAATTTGAGTCTTCAGAGCAAGGCAAGAGGAGCGGTGGCGGCTGCTGGGCAAGACTGTGACTCCGGCAGCCTGAAAACCGAACAAACGCAACGACAGCAGGACGATCGTGACCCCGGCTGCACAGCGAGCGACGCGCGCGGGGGTTATGCCACCGATTCCGCCACGGAACGCCCTGGCAGCAGATCCACTTCAAAGCCGGGCGCGCTAACGGGTTGTAGGTCCGATGCTGCGGACCGCGAATGCAAACGCTCTCGCTCGCTCGATAGCGCCAGGCGTTGCCGCGGAGCCAAAGAAGAATCCGGGGCAGCGGCGCTGTCAGCCGAGAGTGATGAGAGAAAGAAACGGCAAAAGAGGCCCGGTCGCCGGGAGGAAATGGACCGCGTTTACCGGCGCCACATCAATCAACTCTTCATCCGAGGCGACAGCGTCATCCTGGTAGTGGTGCACGGCACGTGATAACACAGCCGTGTGTTTTGGCGTCGACCTAAAAGAGTAAATTGTTTAATTATTTTTATATATAATTTTTCTATCTACGTGACTTTACCGAAAGACCCAAAGAGTACGAGTAGAGTCATTTTAGTTTTTGGCAAGTAATGAATTCGTACATTTGTAAATATTTACGTTTGTTTTGGTGACTGTTGATACACGTGTGATTGTTGCGTGTGTGTACGCGAACGGCTCATTGTCGATACACTCCGAGATGGGCACCTCTCCATGCTGTGCGGGCCGTGGGGGTATTTGACCCTACTTCACGCTGATCAGTGCGGGTTGGTGAACGTGGAGAGCGTAGACGTGGGAGCAGAAGTACGCTTCAACAATAGATGTGCATTTTCGTTACAGTGGCATCTTTTGTTATTTTTTTGGAATGTTTACAATTGAAAATAGTGTTTTGTATTACACATTTGCGGTTTACATTTGTGGACTCTGAATGTGTACAGTTATTTGTGTTTACGTGCACTGTACAGTTGACTACTGTGTAGTTTTGTGTTCATCCACTGGGTTTGTTTTAACCAGTAGCCGCTAGGTGGCACTACCTGCATACTTACATGCCAGTTAAATCTTAGGCGTGTAATAAACATTGCATTTTCATGAACAAACTGCATTGAGCTTAAGGGATGGGTTTCTTGATATTTTAGTGCATTTGTTTGCCTGGTGTTTTACTTGTAATGCCTGTGTATTGAGGTGGAACACAAAACACCCGTTTCGTATTGAAATGACACAACTTCCAAGTGACCACATCTAAAAAGGTTGTGGAAAACATACGAGTAACTGGAGTCTCTGCGCATGTCCCCATATTCGCTGTAGCCAAAACACACATTAGAGCTAATGTGTGTCTTGGCTGCTTGCGTTCATGACGTGGCTCATTTGTGATGCAAAAATCGAGTTCCACAGCTATGTTAAAATGACCGCTCTTTCAAAAACTATCTTTTCCCCACGTCACTAGGACTCTAACGCTGGGCCAGATCCATTGTGAGGATCTAAAATTTGCCCTTCCGACCAGTTTTACAAGCCTTTGTTGATACACCACTGGTGAAGGGGTTCCCCCACCGTGTTAGTTGTCCGGCTTGTTTGACCATACTTCACCACGCCAGTTGGTGAAGAGGGACCGATGACGATATTGATCACCTTTGATGTTCCCGCAGTTGGAAATTTTAATTGAGTAGCCGTGTTCTTGGCACGGTATGCTAGCCACTGCACCACCACTCCACCAAGGAATTTTGTCTTCTGGATGTTTTCTGCAAGTGGCCACATTTTTCACTTTTCAGACATCCTTAATCTCACTTTGTTATATTCTCCTACATCGAGCACATTTAGTGCTTACAACTAATCCCAGTGTTAACATTCAACAATCCTAGCAGAGTGTTAAGTGTAAGCAGTGTCTGTGAAGGTAAGTCATATGTCTCGCTTGTTGGGCTGACAAGTTGATAACCGACGACTGTGCGCTTAACCCTGCAGGCTTGGACGCAATTAAGGCGGTCTTGTTGAGAGACGTCGACCTAAAGCAGACAAAACAGAGCACAAACAGCGCCAGGCGTCTGCCTTGTGCCCCAGCCTCCGCCGCCGTCTCCACTACTGGATCTTTGGGAACGCAGCGGGACACGAGACAGCCTCACATTGACACGAGCCCTGAGCCATTTTTATGCACACGCAGCATATGTGTAGAGCACAGCCACGAAACGTGTTTGGCTCGGTGTGTTGAACCACAGTGACTAGTGGTGAACAATTATCAAATAATCCCAACTGCCACTATACTATGAATGTTAATGCTTTTATTTAGTCAGCATTCAAAACGCTTCACTAAATCTTTCAGATTATGTTTTACAGCAGGGCGCTGCATTGGTAATGTTTCTCCAATTCCATGAAGGCGTGTTCGTCATATGAGAAGAAACTGGAGTAGATGAAGAAGAGCAATGAGTACAAGGGGATATCACTCAAAGCTCCACAATTGGATTAAGTCCATTTCTGGACTACCATCTGGCCTCCTCAGCCCCAGCCAGCAACGCTCATTCCCTGGTGTGCTCCGATCCAAGTACTAACTGGGCTCGACTTTGCTTAGTTTCCGAGATCTGAAGAAATCGGGATGCATTCCGAGTGATTGGAGTGATTTGGTCGTAGGGCAATTGGTCAATCTAAATCAACAAACACACCAACATGAGCCGCAACAGCTCATCCCAAAGACGTCTTAAATATCGCAGAGTGGGGTAGATTTAAGATTGAGTTGCATAGATGTATACATATATAAATCATACGTATTCTTAAGTATCAGTAGTTTTCAATCAAAGACTTGCAAAACATGTTGGGCAATTTTTTTTATTTTTTTCATAGTGGAGGAAATATGAACGTGACACTTTTTTACTGATTGGCCGTGTCGGGTGGTGGGAGGGTTACGACACATTTATAAATAACGAGATCTAACCCAAAAATGTTTATTATGAATAATATTGGTCGCGAAAGCCTACGTGTTAAACTGAAATATGAATGTGCGGAGAACACACCTATTTTAGCTGGGTTGAACTAAATCGCTCCAGGTCTTGCATCGATTTACTCTACTTCCCTTACATATATTCATTTCCCAACAGATCGTCTTAAAGACCTCCCCACACCGTTCTCATCCCCCATGTTCGATGCATCTCCGCAGTGGCTGTCTTAGGCGAATTCTTCCCTTTAGCTGCTATTTCATCCCCAACCATGACCACAACCGTCATCCCCTGTAGCCATGATGTCTCCGGTCCAAGTCCACTTTGCTTAACAGCCGATATGGGGTCACATTTGTGTTTCCCATTCCACGCTTTCCCCTTTCTGTCTCTAATTCCAGGCATGCAACTCTGTTATTGTTTGTGCACTTATAAACGTTTGGTCCATAATTAGTTTATTTTGGGTTAGATCGTGTAGGTATAATGGCAATTTTTACCAAGAACCCCTCCACTACCCGACGGAGCCGATCAAATCAAGTTGCCGGGTGGTGGAGGGTTTTACATTCTTTAAAAGATTGAACATTATATTTTCACAATCTAACCCAAAATAAACTATGAATCATTGGTCGTGAAAGCCTACGTATAGAATTAAGATTTTGGTACTTTTCTCTTTGTCTATTTTTCAAATTCATATGGCCAATATTTAAAATAATCTGTAAAGAGGAATGAGGAAATATCTGTTAATATTTAATCCACGTTAATGTAGAAATATTAATTTATACGCTCACCAACCAGTTCCAAATTAATGATCCAGTTCTTGGTATTGAGTTTGTAAATCATGTAATTAAATGTAACTGGTAAGTGAATCCATGGAGCGCTTTGAGATGTGCCTGGTGAATATATTATAGGTGCTGAAAAAAATGATCAAATTACGATGACTTTATGGGAATACATATATATAATAATACAGAGTAATAACAGCAAAATGTTAGACATTACAAATAAGTGGATGTACGCTCATAGACGAATGAATTAAACATCATTCATACATGTCTGCACTCACGTAAGCTGTATTACTAATTAAATGTAACGCTATTTAATATAACAATGTAAAGGTTATCACAGTGGCCTTGCAATCCAGACGTCTCCGATTCCATTCTCCATCAATGCAGTTGAAATCCTAGGCAAGTTTATTATTGTCCCACCCCCAGAGCCCAATACAAAGATCCCCGTATAGCCTCAACATACTGTTGGGGCAAGTGCTGCTAGCGAGCACCTATGAAGGCTGGCACGGCACATGAGGGAGTGCGTGGCCAACACCACACCCGGCCGCCTTTGTCTCACCAGTGGTGATGTTTACACACCACATCCGGATTCCCATCCCACCCACCACCTCTGTTCATTTGACTGTATAAACAGGTACACCACAGTCAGCTGATCGGTAGGTCAACAGTAGTGGAGTCAAGTTTGGGGACTGCCACTTCATCCAAGACTGTTTGGCCAGCGTGGAAGAGGAGGCCAAAAACCCATCTATAAGGAGCTCTTCAGATGTCGCTCTAATGGAGGGCATTCCGCCGACAGTGGCGTTAGCAAGCTATTTTAGGTCCACACCTTTACCTTTTCATTCATATTTAGATTTAAAGCTTTCGTGACTGCAGGGATTCATATTCTTGGTTCTTTCGGTAAAGTCACGTAGAAGGAAAATAATAAAATAATATAAATAAAACAATAAAATTATCACGACATTTCGATTGCAACACAAGCAATCATCATCAGGTGTGATAACCACAGCAAAAAAAATTGTGGTTATTGTTCTCCGTGACTTTACTGAAAGAACCAATAATATTTTCATTCATATTTCACAAGCGTGCGCCAAGCTTGTCACATTAGCAACATCAGTTGCTTTGCGTTCTGCTCTATTATCGCACTTTAACGGTGTAAGCAAAGTGCATTTGTGGCTGTGTTTACTTGTCGCTAAGATTCTTGCTTTTACTCTTCGTAGGAATGTTTACCATTGGGAAAGTGCGAGGAAGGTTCTAAAGCCAGGCGGCTGTCACTCAAAAATGTAAACAGCATCGCGGATGTGTGGCCGGAAAGAGGGGTAGCCCGGCCAGACACGGCTCCCTGTGGGTTTCCAAGCCGGTCAAATATTCTGACCCCGGCAACAGGTTTAAGAAACTGGAGCCGAGCAAGACTTGCCTTTAATCTCATGTTACGTCCGGCGCACCCCCTAATCAGCGCTGATAATTAAAGCTCTTCCAGTCCTTAGCAGAGGCGGCGGCATCGTTACCAGCTCTCAGAAAATGTATTATGGACTTTGAAGGCGTCACCTTTTGATTGAGAGTGACCACGGCCAGCCGGTCCAATTAGGGTGCCCTCGGTGCTTTGTTTCGGAATGTTTTTTTTTTCTGGTCGCGTGCGAGAATCGGGCGATGCGCATAGGTAGCGTGCGGATGGGAGACAGCAGTTAATGGGCAACGTGCAAGTCGTTTGTCAATCAAATCAGTGCTGGACGCCGATCACGCTGGAGATGTTTGACAAAAATTCACCGCGTTCGTTTGTTGGTGGAGGAGGGGAGGTGAACCCAACTCTGGTTCAGATATCACTCGCAGTGTGCTAGCCACTGCGTCGCCACTCCACATGCACTGATATCTATAGAATAATCCCGGATTTAATGTGAATATAACACGACGGTAAACAGTGGTGGCTATGCACCCCTCTGATCCAGCGTGATGGAGGCAACGAGGGTTGTTGGTTGGTCGCACAAATGTTGTGAACTCCTCTTACCGTCGGCGTTGAGGTGCCATACCCCAAGTTGCCAGGAGAAGGCATTACATTAAAAGGCGGACTTATCTCCATCTATCCCTTCTGTGTGAAATCGAGTGTTGCTCCCTCGCACACGCAGGTTTTCTCCAGGCGGTCCGGATTTCTCCCACATATATTCGCACTCATTAATTGGTTGAAATATTCATCTAATATAAACAAGATCGCAGGGCTTAGACAATTGTTGGTAGCTTCGGTTCACTGACTGGCCGCCTTCCCAATTGTCTGTGGTTCCTCAGCGAGTGTGATATGTAATTTGCATGAAACGACGACGCTATCTTTGTAACACTAAACATTACGATCAGATGGCCGCTTACCCTCAATGGTTAGAGCCCTGGGCCAGCACCGCACAAATACTTGGT